TGAGCCAAACCGGTTAGGCAGAATGGTACAGTTTTTATAATAATGTATTAAAATCTATAGCATAGTTGTTGGGCATACTTTGATAAGCACTGAAAATACAAAAATGAATTAGATCTTGCACTCAAAAGAATCCAGAATGTATTGACTCAATTGAACCTAAGAATAAATTGGTTAATTTCTATTTTCTTTCATCCTAATATCCTTAAATATATTTTATTTAGTGGTAGAAGATGATGAAGATGACTTTCCTACAACGCGTTCTGATGGAGACTTCTTGCATAATACCAATGGCAATAAGGAAAAATGTAAGTAGTACATTTTCCTCCCTCCGCTGGATAAAGTGCACTTTCTAAAGTTATATAATCACTAATTATATAACAAGAATAATTATCTAAATGACTTTTTGGCTATTTTTTTGTTTTGTTTTGTTTTATTTTATTAATCCTCACCTAAGGGTATTCTTTTTATTGGTTTTTAGAGAGAGTGGAAGGGAAGGATGGAGGTGGGAGGAGAGAGAGAGTGAAAAACATCTGTGTGAGAGGGACACATCAATTGGTACCCCCAACTGTGGCCAGGGATAGAACTTGCAACCCTGGTACAAGTTTTTGACAGGGAATCGGACTCTAACCAGAGCCCTCAGTGAGTAATTTTTTTAAAAGGAAATGAAAGTTTCTTGTGAAAAAAGACACATTCTTACTTTAAATAATAATGGCTCCTAATTATCTAACAAAGACTCGTTCTAAATTCCTGACAATGGCCCACTTATTGCAGTGTTATTTGGTAGAATCATTTTCTAGAACTGAAAATGTTTCTTGGGGTTGAGGGGGAACTCCCTTTTTTTCTCTCCACTTGATAAACTGGTGTTGAAAAGTATATAATCAGTGTTATTAAAAGAAAATTATTGTAATAGCTCTGATTTCACGGCACAATTGTTTATAGACCAGGAACAAAGTAGTTTATTTCATATACCAGTTTATTAATTGGTCCTTTTTTTATTTAGAATAGCTAACTCATTAGATGGAATTCTGAATTGTTCATTAGAAACCTCTGTTTTGTGACAGTTACCAACCTAAAGGGCTTTGTGCTAAGAGAGCTAAGCTAAAAACAAATACCACATGGCATCACTCATATGTAGAATCTTAAACACCAGAAACCTGTGATTAATAGTCAGTGTTCTGTTTTGACATGTCCTAATAAAAAGCTAGAGTGGATGCCTAAAATTTTTTAAAGTTACAAATAAGCCTTTGTGGAAAAAAATAAGTTAACTCTAATTGTGCTTATTTTTGCTGAAGTTATGAAAGACTATGAAGTAATCTGTAGCTGTGTAATGTTTTCAAATAATTTTTTAAAACTGTTGTATGGGTGGCCCTGACTGGTTTGGCTCAGTGGTTGGAGCATTGGCCCGTGGAATGAAGAGTCTTGGGTTCGATTACGGTCAGGGGCACATACCTCAGTTGCAGGCTCGGTCCCTGGTCCTGATAGAGCACCTGCAGAAAGCAACCAATCGATGTGTCTCTCTGACATCGATGTTTCTTTCTCTGTTTCTCTCCTTACCCTCCCTCCACTCTCTTTAAAAATCAATGGAAAAAATATCCTCGGGTGAGGATTAAGAAAAAAAACAAACAACTTTTACATGCATGGGAATACTTTTCTATTTCAAATATCATATGAGTATATTCCATCTGAATATTGGCACTAAAATGTAATGCTTCTCTCCCACCCCACCCCACTTTTCCTTTTTATTTCTTAGTTTCATCATGGCTCTCTACTTTTTCCTTATAACCTAGCTCCCTCCCAATTTTACAAAATACTAGCTTATTACAAAGTTTTCTTATAACGTTGGACTACATTGTTGAACCTTATTGAATCATGTAGATTTATGTATTTTTATGGAATTAAACGTTTAATTTGGGATGGTTTTTTCCCAGTTGCATTTTAATTTCACAATGAATCTGCTTAAATAGAAAAATATTTTGTTTGCATATTGGAAAAATTATTGGAAGAAGTTGTAAAACTCAACAGATCTAGTCTTCCATTCCACATAGTATACTCAACTACCACACCTACATTTTGCAAAGGAGAATGGAAGCTTATTTCCTGTAGAAATTGAACTGAAGAGTTACAGATTCAGGAATACCTGGCACAGCAAAAGAGAGGTGTATCAGTCTATCAATAAAGTGATTAAGTGGAAATGTACCTATTGATTATTGAAATCTAAGAGTATCACTATTCTGCTTATCTCCAAGAAATCTGGTAGCCAGGGACTAAATGTAAGTTTACATACTGAAAGATGCAATCCCTAGCTCCCTTCTCTAACCATGTTTGCAGAATGCCTGTCAACCAGACATATATTTTCTGATACAAAGTTAAAAACTCTGGAGACATTGAGTGGACATAGAGAAAGACCTATAAATAGAGATTTTCAAAGGCCCATTATGAAAAAGCTATCTCGCTACCAGGTCACCCTTTGATGAATTCCACTAGTTAAAATAAACTGCTATTGCATACAGGGTTTACAGGTCATAACTCTTTAATGTAAACAGATAGCTAGACCTCCAGACATTGAGGAAAGCCCCCAACATCTCTTTTTTGAAGAGAGGCTTGAAACCAAGCAATGGAAGATAGGGGTGTTGCTGTCATTTAGAGAAATATCCTACACAAGCTGTCTGCATACTTTTTAAAATAATGAGTCACATTTTCAGTACACTTGTGGAAGTCACTGTTTAAAAAATTCCTTCCTTAGGGTTAATGGAAATTAACTTTTGTTAATCATCATAGGTGGAAAGTATCTTCCTATGGTTAACCTCTAGAAGTAAGTTAGAAGTACTGTGTATAATCTGATAAAATAAGTAGAACATGTAATCTTTAAATCTGATACTATTGATCATAGTTTGGAATTAGACTATATAAATCATCTCATAAATACTGTCAGGGTCTTGGTGCTAGGATTCTGGAAACATTGGCTACAAGATCATGGAATCTTCAAATAATTATAATGAGTCTCATCATTAAGGCCATCATTAAGAATTAGGTCTAAATCACATATTGTGGTATTGAGTATGCTAAAGTCTTAAAAATTTAGAACTAGCTAGTAAACATTACAAAAATAGGATTTTACGGAGGGGGGGAGGGGGAGGTGGTAGAATAGAGCAAGAGTAAAACTTCCAATGATTCTAACCTGAAAAGAAAGGCAAAGTAATTTGCCTTTAGAAGACCAGAGGAGAAGTTTTTGGATAAGCGAATACCTTCCTTAGTTAAAGACCTCAAGAGTTCTGGGTCATGGTGGAAGCACTGTTCCCTAAATTTTCAGTGAATAAATTTCTTGTTTACTTATAATGTAAATTTTCTTGTTATATTCTATATCATCTTAATTTATGTTTCTAGAGACAAAGAGAAGATTTTTATGAGGATATAAGGGTCAATCCATCAAAAAGATACAACAGTTATACGCATAATTGCATGTAACAGTAGAGCACCAAAATATATGAAGCAAAAACTATCCAAATTGAAAAGAGAAAAAAGACAATTCAGTATTAATAGTTTGAGACTTCAGTACCCAACTTTCAATAACGGACAGAACAAATAGGAAGATAACAAGGAAATAAAATACTTGAGTAGTATAAACAGACAGACCTAGTAGACATCTACAGAACACTTCACCCAACAATAGAATATATATTCTTCCCAATAGCACATGAACCTTAGGCTAGACCAGTGATGGCGAACCTATGACACGCGTGTCAGAGGTGACACGCGAACTCATTTTTTTGGTTGATTTTTCTTTGTTAAATGGCATTTAAATATATAAAATAAATATCAAAAATATAAATCTTTGTTTTACTATGGTTGCAAATATCAAAAAATTTCTATATGTGACACGGCACCAGAGTTAAGTTAGGGTTTTTCAAAATGCTGGCACGCCGAGCTCAAAAGGTTCGCCATCACTGCTCTAAACAACTGAGCTACCTGGCCAGGGCAGCATTTTATTCTTGCCACTTTTCAACATTGTAATTGTATTAGAGGCTCTAGACAGAACAACTGGCAAGAAAAAGAAATAAAAGACATCCAAATTTAAAAAGAATAATTAAAACTATCTCTATTTGAAGATGCCATTAACTTGTGTAGAGAAAAGTTATAAGGACTCCACTAAAAAAGTATTAGAGGTAATAAGTTCAACAAGATTCTAGGGTATAAAATCAATATAAAAAATCAATTATATTTTTATACTCTAGCAATGAACAATGTGAAAATTAAATTCAGCAACCAATTTCATTTATAATAGCATTAAAAAGAGTTAAGTACTTAGGAATAAATTTAACGAAAGAAGCACAAACTTTCCATTCTGAAGGTAACAAAGCAATGTGAAAAACTGAATAAGATCTAAATAAATGGAAAGATATCTCATGTTCGTGGATCAGAAAACTTAATATTGTTAAGAATTCAGTATTCCCCATATTGCCCTATAGATTTAATGCAGCCCGTACCAAAATCCCAAGTAGGATTTTTGCAGAAATGGACAAGCTGATCCTATAATCCATATGGAAATGCAGATGACCTGGACTAGCTATAATAGTCTTAAAAAAGAAAGTTGGAGGACTTACACTTTTGATTTCATAACTTAGTACAGATCCAATAGTGAGGTAAGGTATTGGCATAAAGAGAGAAGACATAGATCAGTGGAATTGAATTGAGAGTCCAGAAGTAAACTCTTACATTCTTCTTTTTTTTAAAATATATTTTTTATTAATTTCAGAGAGGAAGGAAGAGGGGGAGAGAGATAGAAACATCAATGATATGAGAGAATCATTGATTAGCTGCCTCTTGCAAGCTCCCCACTGAGGATCGAGCCCGCAACCTGAGCATGTGCCCTTGACCAGAATCAAACCTGGGACCCTTTAGTCTGCAGGTCGACGCTCAATCCACTGAGCCAAACTGGTTAGGGCAACCCTTACATTCTTGTAAAAAAACAAGTAAATAAGTTTTTTATAAGAATGCTAAGACAATTCAATGAGGAAAAATAGTTTTCAAGTGATGCTTGGCAGCTGGATATCCATACAGGAAAATGAAGTTTAACCCCTACTTCACACCAAATACAAAAATTAACTCAAAATGAATTTAAGAGCTAAGATTATAAAGATCTTTGAATAAATATAAGAATAAATTGTAATGACCTTGGCTAAGTCATAGGCTTCTTAGATAAGACAACAAAAGTTAGAAATGAAAAAGAAAAGTATAAATTGACCTTTATCTTTGCTTCAAAAGACACCATCAAAAACTGAAAAAAATAACCCATAAAATGGAAGAAAACATTTTCTAGTTACATGTCTGATAAGGGATTTGTATCTAAAATATATAAAGAACTCTTAACGAATTGATGGTAGAACAATATCTCAGTTTTAAAATGGATAAAACATCTGAATAGACATTTCTCAAAGAAGATATACAAATGGCCAATAAGCACATGAAAAGGCCCTCAACATCATTAGTGGTAGGAAAATGCAGCAGGAAGAACCCATTATTACAGTTGCACACATGGTCTTATTTAAGACACAAATGACTTTAATCTGTAAGTTGATTATTAATAAAAACAGTAGTTTATAATACTTAACAGCTTTGTTGAGATAATTAACATACAATAAACTGCACTTATTTAAGTGTACAATATGGCAAGTTTTGATGTTATGATATCATCATCACAATCAAGATCATGTCCATCACCCTCAAAAAGTTTCCTCCATCCCCTTTGTTAACCCCCTCTCTTCCCAAACAACCACTGATCTCTTTTCTGTCACTGTAGGTTTGTTTGCATTTTCTAGAATTTAATACAAATGGACTTACACAGTTTGTGGTGGGTTTTGGCCTGGCTTCTTTTTTAGTTTGAGGTTCATCACTGTTATCACATGTATCAGTATATGATTTCTTTTTATTTTTGTTTTTTTTTAAATATATTTTATTGATTTTTTTACAGAGAGGAAGGGAGAGGGATAGAGAGTCAGAAACATCGATGAGAGAGAAACATCGATCAGCTGCCTCCTGCACACCCCCTCCTGGGGATGTGCCCGCAACCAAGGTACATGCCCTTGACCGGAATCGAACCTGGGACCTTTCAGTCCGCAGGCCGACGCTTTATCCACTGAGCCAAACCAGTTAGGGCTATTTGTTTTATTGGGGAGTAGTATTTCCTTGTGTTGATACACCACAATTTGTGTATTCACTCATCTTTTGATGGACATTTGGTTTGATTATAGTTTTTGGCTATTATACATAACACTGCTGTGAACATTCATGTCAAGTCTTTTCATGGACATATATTTTATTTATTTGGGGTAAATACTTAGGAGTGGAATTGCTAAATCATGTGGTAGGAGTACATTTAACTTTTCAAGAAACTGCCGAAGTCTATTTCACCTGACATATATGAGAGTCCCAATTTCTCCAAATCCTGTCCAACACTTGGCATGGTCAGTCTGTTTAAATTTTAGTTTTCTAATAGGTGTATAGTGGTATCCCTCTGTGGTTTTTAACTAGCATTTCCCTAGTAACTAATGGTATTGACCATCTTTGCATGCGTTTATTTGCCATTCTATCTCTTCCTTGGTGAAGTGTGTATTTAAATCTTTTGTTCAGTTTTTTATTAGATTATATATATTTTCTTACTGTTGAGTTTTGGAGGTTATAATATACTATATTATAGTATAGGCTATGTTAATGTTTTATATTAATGTATATTCTATATATATGTATATAGAATACAAGTCCTTTATCAGACATAGGCTTTACAAAGATTTTCTCCCAGTTAAGGTGTACAATGTAATGATTTGGTATAGATAGCAAAATGATTACTGTGGGGAAAACTAATTAACATCATCTCACATAGTTATCTTTTTCGGTAATGAAACCATCTGAAATCTGTCTTAACAAATTTCTAGTATTCAATTCAGTATATTAACTATAGCCATGTTATATATTAGATAACTAGATTTATTAATTGCATATAACTGCAATTTGTATTCTTTTAACCATGCCTTGAGCAGAAATTTTAAATTTTGATGAAGTAGTTTATTAATTTGTTCTTTTATAGATTATACCTTTACTGTCATATCTACATATGAGGTTTTAAAGTTGGAAGTACCATTTCACTTATGAGTTCTATTGCAGTGGTTTCTTATTAGCTAATAGTATAAGATAATATGTTCTCCTGTTTGCATCTTGTGAATTTTAAAATTTTTTCTCATTTCATTCAAAGCTAACTCTGAATTAATATTATGAAATGTAAACATAAAAAACTATTTAGCCCAGCCGGTGTCGCTCAGTGGTTGAGCATCGACCTATGTGAGCCAAGAAGTCATGGTTTCATTCCTGGTCAAGGCACATGCCGGGATTGTGGGCTTGATCCTCAGTGTGGAGCATGCAGGAGACAGCTAATCATGATTCTCTCTCATCATTGATGTTTCTGTCTCTCCCTCTCCCTTCTCTCTGAAATCAATAACAATATATTTTTAAAAAATTACTTAATGTGTGCATTGGTCTTGTCATAATTAGGTCCTGCAAATTGTCAGAGTGTTATTATTAAAGTATTAGAGGCCCGGTGCATGAAATTTGTGCACTCGGGGTGGGTCCCTCAGTCCGGCCTGCACCCTCTCGCAGTCCAGGAGCCCTCGGGGGATGTCCAACTGACGGCTTAGGCCCGCTCCCCGCCATCAGTCAAACATCCTTAGCGCTGCTGTGGAGGCGGGAGAGGTTCCTGCCACTGCCGCTGTACTCACCAACTGTGAGCCCAGCTTCTGGCTGAGCGGCACTCCCCCTGTGGGAGCGCACTGACCACCAGGAGACAGCTCCTGCGTTGAGCGTCTGGCCCCTGGTGATCAGTGCACGTCATAGCAACCGGTTGTTCTGCCGTTAGGTCGATTTACATATTAGCCTTTTATTATATAGCCTTTTATTATATCATGTACTCGGGGGCGGGGGGGTCCCTCAGCCCACATTGCAAGAGGGTGCAGGCCAGTCCAAGGGACCCCACCAGTGCAGGATTGGGGCTGGGGAAGGACGCGGAGTTTAGCCAGCCGGGGAGGGACCGCAGGAGGGCTCTAGGGCATGTCCAGCCCCTCTCGCTCAGTCCCGATTGGCTGGACCCCAGCAGCAAGCTAACCTTCTGATCAGGGCGTCTGCCCCCTGGTCAACCGGTCGACAGTCTGCCCCCTGGTGGTCAGTGCACATCATAGTAACTGGTCGACAGGTTGACTGTCTGCCCCCTCGTGGTCAGTGCATGTCATAGCGAGCAGTTGAGCAGCCTTAGCATATCATTAGCATATTATGCTTTGATTGGTTCGGTTCTGCCATTCAGTCTATTTGCATATTACCCTTTTTATTATATAGGACTAGAGGCCTGGTGCATGGATTCGTGCACTGGTGGGGTTGCTCAGTCTGGCCTGCACCCTCTTGCAACCCGGGACCCCTCAGGGGATGTTGGACTGCCGGTTTCGGCCCGAGGGATGTAGTAGTGTGTGAAGCGGCAGGCGGCCGGGGAAGAGCCTGAGCCCGGGCCGGCCACCATACACTCCTGCTCATCCTGGCCCTGCTGCACCTGCTACTGCCTGGTAGCACTGCCGCAGAGGCGGGAGAGGCTCACGCTGCTGCAGCTGTGCTCTCCAACCGTGAGCCCAGCGTCTGGCACCCATCTGTCAGCTGAGCAGTGCTCCCACTGTGGGAGCGCACTGAACACCAGGGGGCAGCTCCTGTGTGCACATCATAGCAACTTGTCAAACGGTCGACCGGTCACTTAGAGTTTTGTATATGTTCTCCTACTACTTTATTCACTAAATGCAGCACAGCAAATAGATTTCAGGAAATAGAATCCAGAAAAAAGGACTTGAAAGTACATATGCTGCCACAAGCTTCTTTGCTGATAGAGTATGAATGGAAATTTTTAAATGTTGGCCAACAGGAAGGAAATTATATTCTGAAAGCCTGCTCTGATTTGCTAGGGTTTTGTTTGTTTGTTACTTTATATTTTAGAGAGAGGAAGGGGGGGAGAAAGAGAGATACATCATTGATCAGTTGCCTCCTACAGATGCCCCAACCAGGGATCGAATCTGCAGCCTGGGTATATACCCTGACTGGAAATAGAATCTGCACTTTTTGGTATATGGCACAATACTCCAACCAACTAAGTCACACTGGCCAGGGCTGATTTGCTAGTTTTCTAAACAAGTTTTAATTTTAAATTGTGAAGGATTATTTTTCCATTAGGAAGATTTTCAGTGGAAAACTGTCTTTTTTAGTATTTCCACAGGTAACACCGAAAGGAATTAATGGTATAGACTTTAAAGGGGAGGCAATAACTTTTAAAGCAACTACTGCTGGAATCCTTGCTACACTTTCTCATTGTATTGAACTAATGGTAAAACGTGAGGAGAGCTGGCAAAAGAGAATGGATAAGGTAAGACTATTTTTCTTTCTGTTAAATAATAATCATTTAAGTTTTATATATGGATTGAATATTTAAACCAAACTAACTTCTTAGGGAAAAATGCATTGGAGTTGATAGAAGTAGTAGGTGGTACTTCTGAAACTTTGCAGGCATCTTAACCTCATTTTCCTAATGAGATTCATCAGTTAAATATTCAGTAACTGTACAATATGCATTCTTGATAAATAACATTCTTGATAAATAGCAATGCTTTGGAATGGAAGTGATAAGCCATTTAATATTACCCAGCTTTATTGTATGACATATGAAACTGCATTTAGGCTGTATAAACTAACTTAAACACAAATTTATAAAGTTAAATATTAACTTATTGTATTTATAACCATGTGTATTTTCCAAGGTCATTGAGATATCATTCAACATACATTATATTATTCATTAAACATTTGCTTACTGTTCACCTTTTTGACCTTTGTTTAAATTGCAACACTGATAATATTACAATATGTATATTTAGTTTCTAGTGTAAAGTATGGCTTAGTGAATTTGTTTAGTATTTCTGTTTATAATTCAACATCAATAAAATAGTAAAATGTTAGAACTGAAACATGCCACCATTTTATAGAAGAGGAATTGTGCCCCGGAGACTTGTCCAGAGGTGTTAAGTAGCAGAATTAGAAGAATTTTACTATTTTCTATATTTCAGCTCTGGATACTAGGCTAGACATCAGTCAGAATCTGTTGTTGTTGTTGTTGTTTTGTGGGGGGTTTTTGTTAATCCTCACCCGAGGATATTTTTTCCATTTTTTTTTTTTTTTTTTTTTTTTTTTTTTTTTGCGTGAGTGGAAGGGAGGGGGAGAGACAGAGTGAGAGAAACATTGATATGAAAGAGACACATTGATTGGTTGCGAGCCTGCAGCTGAGGCCTATGACCGGAAGAGAAACAGACCCTTCAGTCCAAGGTCTGACACACTAACCACAGAGCCAAACTGGCTAGGGCCAGTCAGAATCTTCTTCATGTGGGAGTCATATTGCTTGTAGAATTTGAAGGTCTTATCAATTAAAGCAGGACACTAGGAAAACAATGACAACACTGATGTAATGGCAGAATGGCCATAGGATTTGAATATCACTGTGTATTTAAAATGGTCCCCATGTTTAGACGAAAAGAGAATTGTTCAGAATTCTCAAGTGAAGTAGCCATTTTGACTGACAAAATATGTATCTTTTAAAAACAGGTAATAAAAATGTCCATTTAAGGTACAACCACTTCATTATTATTCAGGAGTCAAACTATTCTATATTGAAAGATTTCAACTCTATACCAATGTGGATCAAATTGAATTTTTAGAAGATTCCCTATGCACACAAAAAATAATGTATTGAGAAAACAGGAGAACCCTTAAATTATTAGACTAATGGTTCAAGAGAATCATTCAACTCATCTAGACTAGTTTAAAACTTTTTTCTTTAGTCTCTTTAACCTTCACTAAGGAATTATCATATCTAACCACACTGCCTAAAAATATTCTATTCATTTAAGATATTTGCTTACATTAGTAGACTCACATATGTGTAATTTAGCATGCTTTTTCACTTTTCCCTAAGTCTTTTTAATATTGCTGTGCTGTGTGGTTTTGTTTTGTTCATTTTTTAAGATATGTTAATACATATAGTGAAGTACACTAATCTTAAGTGTACTGCTTGATGATTTTTATACATTTGTATATACCCCTGTAACCACCAGTCAGATCAACATACAGAAAGAACTTTTATAGCACAAGGTTCCTTCATTCCCCTACCACCACCTTAAGAGGTGACCACAATTCTAACTTACATGATCATAGATTAGTTTTATCTGTACGTGAACATCATAAATGAAATCATACAGTATACACTCTTGTGTCTGTCTTTTTTCTCCCTTAACATGACTTGAGATTCATGTTGTTACATCTAGTGGTAGTTTATTCTTTTTTATTATTGTATAGTATTTCATTGTATGATGAATTTTCATTGTTTGACTTTAATTTGATTATTTTTCCTATTGATAGAAGTTTAGGTTTTTATATTTTTATTATTATGAATAAAGCTGCTGGGAACATTCTTGTACATATCTTTTGGTGGATATATGCACTCATTTCTCTTGGGCATATACCTGGGAATACAATTGTTAATTCATGGGAGTATATGCTTAGCTTCAGTGGATATTGACAATTTTCTAAAGTGGTTATATCAGTTTAAACTCCCACCAGCAATAGATGAGAATTCCCGTTGCTGTTCACCCTTGTCCGCACATAATATTGTCAGTTTTGGGTGGATGTTTTATTTTGATTTTTCACTTGCTTTCTTTTGAAAATAGGAAATGGAGAAAAGAAGAAGAATAGAGGAAGGATACAAAAATGCCATGATAGAACTTAAGAAAAAATCCCACTTTGGAGGACCTGATTATGAGGTATGAAGTTACATTTTGATCTTAGAAAGGAAAACACATAGGCATGCCTATCACAAAAGTGATTAATTTTTAAATTATACTTTTGTAACCTTTAAAGGTTCTAAATATATAATTCTTCTATGTTTATTTTAATTAAATGTATATATCATAATATATAAATACTAGGCTTACTTTGAAATAGAATTTTTGGTATTGCCTACAAAGTTTAGTATAGGCTTTAAAAGGTTTATTATTTTGCCTGTCCACTGTATAAGACAAGTGTTAATCTCCTCTGTGAAGATGATAATTTTTAATGTTATCTTCTAACTCAACTTTTTTAAATAAAAGCAACTTATGGAGGGAAAACCTGAATACTTTATACAGACAAAAGATTTTAGTTTGTGCAATATACTATGATGTCTTATCCACAGTAGAGCATGAACTATTATAATTACCTTGCCTTTATGTTTGGAATGTGTGAAACCAACTTCTTTCCTCATTTTTTTTATTGAGCAATTAATAAAATCTTCCTTCCATATACATGCATAATTAAAATTTTATAAACTATTTTTCATCACGTTTTTATAGAAAAATATATAAGAAATATATATGGTAATTGTCATTAACGTTGATATTCCTGAAATGAACATTTTTTTATTACTTTTTTATCCTCACGTGAGGATATGTTTTTGTTGTGTGTTTTTTTGTTTGTTTGTTTGTTAGTTAGTTTTTATTGTTTTTTAGATAGAAAAGAAGTTGGGAAAGAGAGAGAACATCGATGTGAGAGAGAAACATCAATCGGTTGACTCCCATACATGCCCCAACAGGGAATCAAACCCACAACCTAGGTATGTGCCCTGACTGGGAATTGAACCCATAGCCTTTTGGTGTGCAGGTTGATGTTCCAATCAACTAAGCCAACCAGCCAGGGTAAAATGAACATTTTTTAAATAGAGTGGCAAGGAGTACCATTGAGATAGAGATAGGATTATAAAATAGTTATAGTTAGCCCTGTTGGTATGCTTCAGTGGTTGAGCATCAGTCCATGAACCAGGAGGTCACTATAGTTCGATTCCTAGTCAGTGCACATGCCCGGGTTGCAGGCTCAGTCCCAGGTGGGCGGCATGCAGGAGGCAGCCTATCAATGATTCTCTCTCATCATTGATGTTTCTATCTCTTTTCCTCTCCCTTCTTCTTTCTGAAATCAATAAAAAATACATATATTTTAAAATAATTATAGTTAGACTATAAGAAAATAGAAGAAAAAAATCTTGCCATTTTTATTCTAGAAGGGAATAAAAAAACTGATATTGACTGAGTATTTCTTATGTTGGAACTGATTGAGAAAAAAAAGTTTTTATTAACTATATTTAATGTTGGAATTGATTAAAGAAAAAAACTCAGCTGCTATTGAATAAATATTTTTTATGCTGGAATTGATTTCCAAATGTAGAAATCATGATGATGAGACTTGAGCTGTAATATTCTTTAATTATTAAGCTGTCAATTCATTTCTCCTAGAATGTATAAAAATTATATAATTAGCTATTCTCTGGGGTTTTAATAAACTAAATTACTGAAATATAAGCTATTATAATTTTAATTTTTATTCTGATGCTAAGCATATTGTTTTGCCATTTTAGGTTACCTTATTTTTTTCATATTATAAATAAAATAAATGTTTCTTACAGGAAGATTATAGAAAAATACACAAAAAGCCCATGTTTTTAATTTATCAGTATATGGTACTAATTTATTTCCTTCCAGCAATATATAAGTATAGTTATATACTTCCACTTCTGTCAAACCAGTTTTCTTTCAGGGAATAAGAGTGGGATGGAGGGAAGAGAGACCTTGTGCTAGGTATATGTGTTTACTAGTTTCAAATCTAAAAAAATTGCTTTATTTATTGATGTAATTGATTTAGGCTTTTCTAAAGAAATGTTTATTGGTCACTTAAAATTTGCTCTATAAAAGTTTTATGCTTTTGCCAAAACCGGTTTGGCTCGGTGGATAGAGCGTCGGCCTGCGGACTGAAGGGTCCCAGGTTCGATTCCGGTCAAGGGCATATACCTTGGTTGCGGGCACATCCCCAGTAAGAGGTGTGCAGGAGGCAGCTGGTCGATATTTCTTCCTCATCGATGTTTCTAACTCTCTATCCCTCTCCCTTCCTCTCTGTAAAATATCAATAAAAATATATTTTTAAAAAAAGTTCTATGCTTTTATGTAATCTCTCAGTTTTTTGATACACTTATCTCTATATTTGGTATCATGTTTAAAAAGCATTCTCAAATATCTGTATTTTCTTTTTTTCTTTTTTAACGGTCTTTTCTAAATATATTGCTAATATACCTGGATTTTTAAAAATTACGGTATAATATGGTAATCTTTTATTCTAATGGTGTTGTTGAATAAATCATTCTTTTCTACTCCTGTACTGCCCTCTTTTAATGAAGAACATGGTTAAGGGTTCTTCAGCCTTTTCTCACCAACTCCTTGTGATATGAAGTTAAATATGCAATTTTTAAATAAACTAGGACCTGTTTTTATGTTTTCCCCCTTCCTTTTAGAGCAGTGATGGCGAACCTTTTGAGCTCGGCGTGTCAGCATTTTGAAAATCCCTAACTTAACTCTGGTGCTGTGTCACATATAGAAATTTTTTGATATTTGCAACCATAGTAAAACAAAGACTTATATTTTTGATATTTATTTTATATATTTAAATGCCATTTAACAAAGAAAAATCAACCAAAAAATGAGTTCGCGTGTCACCTCTGACATGCGTGTCATAGGTTCGCCATCACTGTTTTAGAGTCTTGAACCATCTATATTGTGTCAGTACTATGCTTGCATGGATTTTAAAATGACACTAATTCAGAATGTGACTTTATTTTGGTTCTTATCCAACATTTATGATGTTTTAATTATTGAACAAAGTTTAAATGTTTCTGTCATCTATAGCCTCAGAAATTACTTTATAATCTTAAATCCATTCCTTAAGACTTATAGCACAAGGCACTGTGCTAGGTGTGGGGTGGGGTGAGATTGCAAGGAACAAGGCAGACAAGGATCCTGCCTGAGGGCCCCTCCTGAGTATATATTAATGGTAATATAGACTAAGTAGCAGGCAAACAGAATAATATATATTATAAAGCACTTTTAACAGTGGTGGGCATGGCTTCCTAAAGGAAACAGCATCTTAGCTGAAACCTTAAGAATAAGTAGGTTGAGTAGATGTCAACCAGGCAAATAGCCTAGAAAGAGTGTTGCTTGTAGGGGCTTAGAAGAAAAGAAAACATTTGGAGACCCAAAGCAAGAGAAAGCATTTTGCCCCAGAGTAACTTATCAATGGAGCAGGGAGCCCATTGTGAGGAGGGAGGGATAAAAAGGTCTGAGAACAGTGCAGATCCTCAGGAATGGGTTTTAAGCAAATTGGGTTTTCAGATTTACAGTTTAGAAAAATTATTCTTGCTTCCTGCAGTGAGGAGAGTGGATTAAAGTTGAGAGTTGTGACAGGGACTTGGAGATTTTTTTTCAGTATAACAGATAAGAATTGAGTATAGTCTAAATTAGATAGGCTAGGACAGTAGGAATAGATGTGGAAAAATGAGGTATTTGGAACGTAGAATTGAAGGGTGTGGTGATTGAATGAAGGAAAAGGGAGGAATCCAGAAACAGGCCCAGATTTCCGCCTTCGTCCTGTTGGTGCACAGGTAGAGGAAGAACAGGTTTTAGACATGTTGCACATGAGTTGAGACATTCACCTGAGGAGGTCTTACATATTATTAGATGTAAAGATCTAACACCACGTAGGAAAGGAATGGACAGGCTATGAATTTGGGAAATTATCAGATGATGACTGAACTCTTAGAAATGAATAAAAATGCTGTGGGAAAGCAAGTGTGGAATCCTAAGGAACACCCACATTTAAGGGATAGACAAAGGAGGAAGAGTTTGCACAGGAGCCCAAGAAGAGTACTTAGTAGAGGGGAACTAGGAAGTTAGGAATCCAAGGGCAGAGAGCCTTGCAAAGAGAGTCATTAGAAATGCTGCCAATAGGGCAAGTGAGGTCAAGACTGTGGAGTGTGTCCCATAGATTTAGCAACAAATAGCTCTTTTCCTTGGTAAGAAGGTGAAATAAAAGTGGGTTTTTTTAAGTTGTTTTTTAATAAAAGAAATTTTATACAATTACTAAGTTCTCAGATTGCCATCAAAGGAAAAATGTACCTTTCTTATTTGCCCATTTCACTTATCAAAGTAGAATTTTTAAAAATTTTGTATTAAGTGTATTGGGTTGACATTGCTTAATAACATTATATAGGTTTCAAGTGTACAGTTGTTTAATACATCATCTGTATATTACATGTGTGTTCACCACCCAAAAGCAGAACTTTTTAATCCTGAATTTCCCAATTGGGAGACTCCTGAGATGCTGACATGATTGCATAGGTTGAATGCGTATTATAATTTTTAAAAGTGTAGGTGTGGTTATGATCAATAGAGTTTTCAAAAATCACCAGAAAATATGTTCAGAGTAGATTTTGGATATTTTCTATTTTTCTCACATCAACAAAAACCAAAGTGATACTACTACTATTTAAGTGCCTTTGAAATGTTTTAACTGTATACAGGGAATCCTTCAGGATAGCCTCTAGAATGCTGTTACTGTTCTTCTCCTGATCCAACAGGTCATTACATGTTTAAATTCACTTAGTGATAATTCATTGAAGTATGCACTATTCTGTGTGTATGTTGAAGTTGAATAAAAAGTTTCTGTGGATTTTTTTTCTTTTGAAATGAGTTATGAGAGAGTCCTCATAACTCCAAAAGAACTATTGCATTAAATCAAGATTCCTCATATGCCTGTGCCAAGGGGTTTTCTCCCACCCTTCCTGTGTGACCCCACGTTGTGACAGGGATGGAATAATGTTGCTAGATAATTTTTCATGGAGTAGTGATGACGTTGGGTTATCAGTCTAACTGGTAAGATTATAGAGAGACCAACAATCATTCATGTGTCTTATTTTTATATTTAAAAATTTAGGAGCCCTGGACAGTTTGGCTCAATGGATAGAGCGTTGGCCCGCGGACTGAAGGATCCCGGGTTTGATTCTGGTCAAGGGCACATACCTCGGTTGCCGGCTCTATCTTGTGTGGGAGGCAACTAATCGATATATCTCACATCGATGTTTCTCTCTCTGTCTCTCCTGCACCCTTCCACTCTCTAAAAATCAATGGAAAAATACCCTCGGGTGAGGATTAAAAAAAAATTTGGGGGGGGGGGGAGCTCTGCCCAGCTGGTTGAGCATCAATCCCTGTACCAAGAAGTTGCTGGTTCAATTTCCAGTCAGGTCACATGCCCTGGTTGCAGTCTTGGTCCCAGCAGGGGGCATGCAGGAGTCAGCCAATCGATGTTGATATTTCTCTCACATCCATGTTTCTATCTCCCTCTCCCTCCCTGTATAAAATCAATAAAAACATTTTTTTAAAAAAAAAATTTAGGGAGCCTTAAACCAAAGTGTACCTTTTCAGCCTCTACTTTTACCATAATGTAAAGCCATTATTCAACTTACAGTCCACTTATTTATTCCATCACAGCAGGAACATACCTTGTTTGTTTCCATTTTGCTATTGTTCTTTTATACTTTTATCTTCTGATACAGCTGAGGTTCTCTTTGCATGAGAATCACTTGGAGGACTTATTAAACATGCATATTCCCAGCTCCACCCAAGACCTGCAGAGAAGTAATTTCTGTGTATGGGGTCCTGGGTATTTTCATTTTAACAAGTTCTCCAGGCAATTGAGAACCACTGCTCTGCAATCTAACCAGGCTCTCAAGCATCAGCTAGCTCAATTTTTCTTTCTCCATGAACTACTTCTATTTGCTTAGGAAGATCCCGCTCAGTACCCAGTCTGTACTGCTCATTGCCTGTAGATCTGCAACTTTGTACTTACCTTTCTTCAATTTTATACGGTTTCTGTCGCCAAGTATTTAAGTTATAAGTACTCAACTCTGTCACTGTAGCAGGCATAGACAATGCATATGAATACAATGAAGATTATATTCCAATAAAACTTTATTTAGCTTTATGTAATTCCAACATGTCATGAAATGTTGTTATTCATTCCTTTTCCCCCAACCATTTAAAAAATGAAATTCTTAGCTTACAGGCCATACAACAGTAAGCAGTGGACTGGATTTGGCCTATGGGCCATAGTTAACCAACCTCTTACTCTAGATCAGGGGTCCTCAAACTTCTTAAACAGGGGGCCAGTTCACTGTCCCTCAGACCGTTGGAGGGCCAGACTATAGTTTTAAAAAAAACTATGAACAAATTCCTATGCACACTGCACATATCTTATTTTGAAGTAAAAAAACAAAATGGGAACAAATACAATATTTGTATTTGCATGTGGCCCGCGGGCCGTAGTTTGAGGACCCCTGCTCTAGATTATTGCCCTAATACAATATTGGTCAATATACAGTAAGTATATGAGTACTAAGTGATTGTTATACTCATGATTCTACACAAAGCATATGTTACTCATATTTTATATATTACCTAGTGTACTAACTGGTTCAGAAATGTTTGTTGAATCACTTTTCAACTTTTCCCTAGAGTTAATGCCAGAATTATCAGTGTTTTCCACTTTCTTAAACCAGCTTTTTTTTTTTCTTCTGTGTGTTCAAATAGGAAGGTCCAAACAGTCTGATTAATGAAGAAGAGTTCTTTGATGCTGTTGAAGCTGCTCTTGACAGACAAGATAAAATAGAAGAACAGGTATATCTGTCACTAAAAATTTAACACTAGGTATTTCTTGATGTATGGTATTTTATATAAATAGAATTTGAAAACTGAAATATCTGATAACCTAGAAAATGAACTGTGTCTGCATTGAGTCACAAATGTAGGAGAATCTTCATGTCAGTTCTTCCATTGATCAATTTCCAAGCAATGGAAAGAAGACCAATGATAGTTTAAAGAAAGCATGCAGCCGTGTCCGGTTTGGCTCAATGAATAGAGCGCCAGCCACGGACTGAAGGGTCCCAGGTTCGATTCCAGTGAAGGGCATGTGCCTTAGTTGCAGGCACATCCCCAGTGGGAGGTGTGCGGGAGGCAGCTGATCGATGTTTCTCTCTCATCGATGTTTCTGGCTCTCTATCCCTTTCCCTTCCTCTCTGTAAAGGGTCAGTAAAATATATTTTTAAAAAATAAAAAATAAAGCATGCATAATTAACATGAAGTTAAAATATTCTGTCTATTGCCCTTGAAATATCCAACTTTATCATGATCCTGTTAATATCAAGTATATATTTACTCTGAGTAAAACAGTCTCTTTGAACAACTTTTTACCACCAAGTGCCATATAAATTCAAAAGGAAGATTACCAAGAATCTATTTTTCTTCCATTGGTACCATTCAGTTTTTATTATTAACTCCTTTATTGCTTTCACTATCTTAACCTTCAATTGCTTCCTCACTTTTAACTTTGCTTAGTGTTTTGTCATCATTAAGTTCACAGTAGTTATGCCCAGATTCTCCTGTGGAAGTGGAACTAAGCATATATTAAATCGTTTAACTCTAATTTCAAGATTAATTTGATCCCTTGCCTTCAATTCTGCAACAATGCAGTTGCCAAGTATTAACACTAGATGGTATTTAAGGGTGAATTTTAGTTACTTTTCCCAGGACTTGAAGCATCTTACAAATAAACGATATGTATATCAGTTGTACACTACAGATTTACCTGCATAAAAAAAGTTGACATGTTCATTCCCTGCCATTGCTAAGGCAGTCATGGCTATTATGCCCATTTATTAGTCTATCTACTTGAAGGTAAATCACCTGTAATAGTGGCTGCTTTTCATGTTCATTTTTCATTATTTTTTATAACTCATGATAAAAAGTTCATGTAACATTAGTTTATAAAGCTTATTGCTTATTTTTATACCTAAAAGATGCTACACAGCACTCAATAAGAGTGGGAACTTTCAGTTCTTAAATGACTTCTAATTTTGGATGCCAAACGTATTACCCAAAGCAGCATCATTGTGTTTGTTTTTTTAGGGTTTTTCGCCTACACTGTTTTTTGTGTGTATGTTCTGTTTTTATTTAATATGTGTTATCATAGAAAGAGTAGTGAACTGAGGTCATGACAACTTTGTTTTAGTCTTAGTTTTGCCACTGGCTAACTATGAAGCTATAAACTTATCACTTAAATTTTCTGGGCCTTGGTTTCCTGATCTGTGAAACAAGGGCTTAGACAAGATGAATCAAATCATACCTCTGGCTCTAAAATCCTAAATATCAACACATTGGTTGAGTTGGAGTTAAAGAGAATCAATGAAAGCTTCTATAAGCTTTAGAGAAAAGAAATATTCATGGGACTATCAACTCATTTCATTTCAGACTATTTTTGGTACTCTGGTAGATCCTCTACAAAACAAGCATTAAACAGACCCGTGACTTTCCTTGCCTAATAACTAGACGTGTCATTATGACAGATGATTACAGTATGTTAATGCTATAGAGGAGTAAGCATCAGTAATCCATGAAATCAGTTCCAAAGGTTCAGATCATTACCCTCATTGTATGCATTAGATATTACACAGGGCTCTCAACAACACAACCACTACATAGGTAGTCTTCAGTGACACAGTTTTGAGTTTACATTTGTTTTACATTATTTGCCAACATAAGGAAAGCTATACAAAAAAGTGGTGAGTGAGAAATGAGATCTTTGCTGTTGTGTTCAGATCGTATTGAATAGAAATAACCAGTTGTCTTCTACATAGTTAGAAAATGAGCACACACATAAAACAGCAAAGTTTCTGGTACATTACATTTAATAGATATTTATAGAATGAGAAGAAACTAGGGAAGCTGAGGAGGGAGAAAGAGGTTAAGTGGCAGCTTAACAGGAATGAAATGATTAGATGAAGACAAGATGAATACCTTTATGGAAAGGAGCAAAGACAGACATGACGTGACTGAAGCAAACACTGATAGTGATTCAAATGATACAGCCCTGCAGGAGCCTTATGAGGTGGAATGATTGGAATAATTTGGGCAGAGTTTGAATAAGAAAATCAATATTAAATTAAGATTGATTTATGGTAAATGATGTCATGTTGGCATCGGAGAGTCCGACTAGGAGCAAAATTTTAAAAAAATGATCCCTGGGCTAAGTTAGTAACTGTCAGGTCCAAAAGAAGAGATTGAATTGGGACACATAAAGTAAATGTCAGAGTAGTTTCATGATTCAAATATTTCTAAGTGTTGGTGGCAAAACAGCATCAGGTGTTAGCTTGGTATAGTCCAAGCATGTCAAACTCAAAGGCTAACACAGGCCAAATAAACAAGGTTTAAGTTTATGTGGGCCACAAAAAAAACAAAAGCTTCAATTTTCATAGAAACGTAGGATTATTTCAATAGAGACATGCTGAATACAAAGGGCCCTCCTCTCTGGTTCCAGGTGCATCACCCGAGAACCACAGCTGCCAAGTCACCACAGTTCGGCAGCTCCTGCATTGAGCATCTGCCCCCTGGTGGTCAGTGTGCATCATAGCTACTGGTTGGAGTGTCTGTCCCCTGGTGGTCATTACGCATCATAGCTACCAGAAGGTTGGCCAGTTGGTTAGGCTTTTTAGCCTTTTATATATATAGAAGATTATGTATAACAGGATATTGTAAAAATTAAGTTACGAAATTTTTATTAAAACATTTCTTACATTCGGTTATATTGGCTGGGTCGCAAAAATATTCGTCGTGGGCTACATGTGACCTGTGGGCTGCGAGTTTGGCATGCTTGGTGTAGTCAGACCGGACCTCAGTTCAACAACCTCGGTTCTTGAGTTCTCACTGCTTGAGTTCTGCCTAAGAAAGAATTCAGAGCTGAGACTCAAACACAAGCAAAAGTTTATTTAGAAAGTCACAGGGCTAGAAGAAGTGAGTCAGAAGAAATGGGCTTAGGAAACAAGTTACAGAGGCAAAAGAATAAATACCCTTGCAGCTTATGAAAAAGAAAGGCAAGGAAGGCGGACCTGGGGGTGGGGAAAAGCATAGGTGTGCTCCATGGAGAGAGCAGCACTGGGTTATCAGTCTTGAGGGTATTTGTCTGGAGGTTTCAGGGAGGATCCCAATAGAATATTCATCAGCTTTACAGATGTGTCTTTTCAGGGTTTTGGTCTCCAGGGATTGGTCAGCACCAGGGCAGGGGGTCATTAGTCAATGCAGCTGGTCCTGTTGTCAGCTATAACATGGCTTGTCTGGTTTTGCTGCTTTTCTGGGCCTGGAGCTGAACACATCTGATATCATCCCTAGTTTAACCTAAGCTGTCTCCATGGTCAACAGACCCAAGGCTTTGTTCCTAAGATTATTTGATGTGGGTCAGAACCTCATTGTCCTGGGGCTTAATCCTTAAGGGAGAAATCATGCAAGGGCTTGTATGGGAGTCTTATGAGGCTATTCTCCTGTCCCCTTGTTCTCTGTCCCTCTTAGGGGGTCTAACCCACATGACTAGTGATATGCTCCAGGGAGGAAAGGTTACCCTGGGGATGGAGGTCCTTGGTTTCCCAGTTTTGCCCATAGCTAGGTACCTGGGGCTTTCTGCTCTGGTGACCTTCTGTAGTTGGCCTGTCATCTTGCTCTGCTCATGTCTGTCTAACTGTCTACTACATAAGTACTGAAGTGTTCAGTAGTTAAATGTTGATAGTTTCAGGTTATAGGTTATATTAACCATTCTTTAGCTGCAAAATACACTTAAAAGCCTTTGCCTCTTAACATTATATGTTTTCTTAGTCACAGAGCGAAAAGGTCAGGTTACATTGGCCTACATCCATGCCATCTGGAGATGCCTTTTCTTCTGTGGGGACTCATAGATTTGTCCAAAAGGTAAGCCTAATGTCAGAGTTTACTCCAAGTGTATGCTGTATTGTTCTTCACTGTTGATGGAACTATCTTGTATAAGTTTTCCTTCCTTTTCTTGAACTTAAGTAATGAGATTTTTTTGGTATTATATGTTTTCTTCCATATGCATCCTCCAAAACAGAAATCTTCTTATGATTATGTTCTTTATCATTTAAGAGGAAAGGAGGTGGGGGAGAGGGGATAACAGGGAATGACTAGTCCAAAATAGCCAAAAGCATAGCCAGTTACATTAAGTTTCTTTTTTCTTTGGGTTTAAGTGGTATTATTTTACATTGTTGAAAGCGCTGCATTCATTTTAGAAAGATTTTAGAGCATAACACATAATAGGTGCATGGACTCAGCACTTGCTGCTGAGCTTGTTTCATATAGTGCTTTGTTCTCTCTCTTTATCTTGTGTTTGGAAGTTGGTACTGAATGCTCTGTTGTGCCTTTGTTCTGATTACTTGGTTTTTTCTTTGTCTGTCTCTGGTAGCCCTATAGTCGCTCTTCCTCCATGTCTTCCATTGATCTAGTCAGTGCCTCTGACGATGTTCACAGATTCAGCTCCCAGGTACTGTATGAATGTATAGAGTGGACTTGAGTCTTTCTGTGCTATATTTCAGCCTGCTTTCCCAGTTCCGAGAAATCTTTTGGTTAGGCCACTTGTTTTCGTTCTGAATTTTAAATAGTTATAAGCATTAAAAAGGCCTTCCTTTTCTACTAAGTAGTTCCTCTATCAAGCTTGCATGTGCCCTTTGTATCTTTTACTGTGAATAGCTTGAAATTTTGCCATATAGGAGGTATTCCTGAAAGATTGTAAATTGAATTGAAACAATTGAAGGTACATAGTTTTAAAGTATTATGTAATATCTGATTTATTCAGGCAGGATTCAGCAACTTTGATGGACATGGTTATAGCATAAAAGCAGGATTCAGCAGCCTCACTTCTAATCTAATTTAAAATATAATTATATTCAACAGGGAAATAACCTTTTAAATAATATTTGTTGAACAGCTTGTACTTTCCTTATGCACATTACCGTTTGATACTATAAATTAATACTTCTGTTCTATACTAAATTTATGGAAATTGGTTTTAATTGATTATTTGGTATCATCAGTAAGGGTTTAGAAATTTAAGACAGGAAGCCAGATGCTTGCAGTCTCTGCTCTCATAATAAAGTCATTAAAACAATATATTTTAGTATCAGCATTAGTTGGGGGAAAATTTTTTTTATCTTTGCAATTCAACTTTGTATCTCTCTGGTGATTGAATTTTATTGGATTAAATTATTTTATTTTTAAGAACTTGAATTCCCAAAGTGACCCAAGTTTAAATTGTGGTTAGCTGCACTTCTGTGATCTAGCTAGGACTCAGGTCTACCTAGGGCCTGGCATGTAGTCAGTGTTCAGTAAGTGAGCTTTTAATAATAACATAATTTCTTTGAATAAAGTTTACATTAGTTTTTTAGCTATTCAGTGAAGAACAGTAAGTCTAAAATCAAATTGTGTTGTTCAGACTTTTGCAGCTTTTTTCTTCTTAAACATTTTTGAGAAAGAGATATATCAATTTATCAGAAATCACCCGGAGCCAAAACTAACTAAAACCCATCAGTACTGGTCACCATTTTCCCTTAAAATATAGGAATATACAGGCTCTAGATGAAAGAAAATGTGAGAGCAAGAAAAGAATACAAGCCACTGATAAGTGCCTGAGAATTGGGGCTTCAGAACCCAGCTCCCCTGGCTGTAGAGCGCTATAGAACAGCTGAAAGCCTTCAAATACAGGTGAATATGTCACTGAGAAGTAGGTGCCCAGCTTTTTACAAGATTTCTGCCAAGTCATAGGTTAATTCTTTACCTAATTTTTTGTGTATCTCCTGTTTGTAAGTTGAGAAGTCTTTCTGAAGGGTTTTTTTTTTCCTAATATGTCATGCATGTGATTGATCAGATTCTGTTTTAGCTTTTGATTATTGTACTGTCATATTCCCAAAAGGGGCAAAAATGAAGACAAATAACATTGAGGTTCAAGTGTTTCTCGCCCTTGCTAAAGTATTTGGTGTCATTAGCAAACTTGGGCTTTGGCATTTAGCTATTGATTTATTAGCTTTGGCATCTGTGTACAAGTCTCAGCTCATGACCGCTTTGTTCTTGTTGAAATTATGTTCATAATCCTGATTGGATAGGATAATTAAACATAGGATTATGAGATGCCCTGAAAAATAACCTAAAGTAAAATAAGTGAAACTACTAGGAAATTAATAGAAAATCATGAATCTATCTTCTGGGCAGAAATTGGGAATGAAGTAGCTCTAAATCAAAGTGTACAGAAAGTAGAAAGGACTTGGATTTATAAATGGATCTTTTGGTCACATTTATTTGCATTACACAGTTTCCAACTAAAGATGTCATTTCAAAATGAAAGAGAGAAAAAAAATCATCTTTTGAAAAAATAACATCAAAGGGTGGGAGTACAGCTGCAGGTTAATCTATAGTGAACATCACTGCAAAACAATTCTGTGTAAAGCTTTTCTACTTTATGTTCATAATTCATTGTTGTGGTAATTATTTTACTCCTCCCTTTTTTACTGTACAGTAATACATGCTAATTGTAGCAGAACTAGAAAGTAAATAAAAGTAAAATACTATACCACTTGATATTCTCATGCATATAAAAAATCAGGCCCTAGCCGGTTTGGCTCAGTGGATAGAGCGTTGGTCCCGAGTTAAGTTCCGGTCAAGGGCACATGCCCGGGTTGTGGGCTCGATCCCCAGTGGGGGACTTGCAGGAGGCAGCCGATCCATGATTCTCTCTCATTGCAGATGTTTCTATCCCTCTCTCCTTCTTCCTTCCTCTCTGAAATCAATAAAAATATATTTTAAAAAAATAAAAATAAATAATCAGGCTCATATGATAAATACACATACCTTAATTGTCTTTTCCTACCACAGTAGTTAAATCTATATATACTATTTTGTAACCAGCTTTATTTTTTAAACATATAATTAGGTCCATTCTTCCCATCAGTAATAAATAAAGGTCTGTATCTACTTACCTATTTATGGATTGCATACTGGGTTTGCCTTCTCACCTGATACTGAATATTTAGTTTATTTTAAGTTTATCGCTGTTATAAATAGTGCTGCATGGGCATTCTTGTATATATAACATCTTTATATATACATTTTTGTACACTTATTAAATTACTAGAGGCCCAGTGCACGAATTCGTGCACAGGTGGGGTCTGGCCGGCCTGGCCCCAGTCAGGGCAAATTGGGGCTGAGCCTGTCGGGAGGAGGAGATGGTAGGAGGTTGGCCTGCTGGCCGACCTGGATCAGGACCTCCGATCAGGGCTGGGCCAGCTGGGGGAAAGGGCCGCGGGCGATTGGCCAGTGGGCCCTGCCCCCGATTAGGGTTGGGGGACTGATTGGGGGTGGGCTGGCTGGCCCCTCCCCCGAATGGGGTGGGTTGGGGGTGCCGATGGGGGGGGGCAGCGGCCGGGGGGGAGGGGCCATGGGTGGTTGGCCAGCCGACTCTGCCCCTGATTGGGCGGGGGGCAGGGAGGGGCCGATCTGGAGTGCAACCTGACGGGAGGGGCTGCAGGAGATTGGCCGGCCAGCCCTGCCCCCTATTGGGGTGGGGGGTGCAATCAGGGGCAGGCCAGCCGGGGGAGGGGCTGCGGGCTTATTGTGGTAGGGCGGGCTGATGGGGGCACGCCTGGCGGGGGGGGGGGAGCGTTTGGCTGGCAGGCCCAGCTCTTGATCAGGGTGGGAGTGTCCAATCAGGAGCAGGCCAGCCAACCTCACGGCCCCACCCCCTGATCTGGCCGGTTCATTGGCCACAGTGGGTGTCATAGCAACCGGTTGTTAGGTTGTTATGGCCGTATGGTAGCTGCCTTTTTATGTATATAGATTTCCTTAGAATATATTCTTAGAATTGTTAGGATAAAGGCCATGCACACTTAGGAATTTTAAATTAGATTACCAAACTGTTCATTAAAAAAGTTGAACCAACTGTATTCCCAGGTCAGTTTTCTTTTATTATACTGACACTGAATATTACAATTTAGTTAATTTTTGCCAGTCTGATACACTAAAAGTGGTGTTTTTGCTTCTCGCATTTTTGCAATTTTTCTGTGACTTTTTTGACTGACTTTGCATTACTTTAACTTATGTTACCTTCTGTCAATTTATATTTGTGGAATCTGATTTCTTTTGGACCAAAATAGATCACTTTTCAAACTTTTGAAATTGCTAATTCAGGAATAACCTCCCAAACAAAAACACAGCTACCTGCATACTTTCCAACAAAAGAGCTAAATGGCGGTAAATATTTTTTTAAACAGGACTCTGTTTTTACTAGAATAAAACCCTTCACATTCTTCTTTCACAAGTAATCCATTATAAGTAGGACTTAGTTGGGGGAAACATTTCTTTTTGCCTCGAATCTTAAATAAAGGTGTCCTTAACTCCCAGTGTCCGACCTAAAAAGTACATATCAAATCTAAAGATTTTAAAGATCTTAGGATCTAATAAAGGTAAACATTTTTCCATATCAGGATGTAAAACAGACAATGAGTGCAGTGCTACTGTGGCTTTTTTATTTATGGATACTAACTGGAACTTTCTTTGTTCTCTTTTGGAAATGAGATACAGTTTGAATGTATTTGTAACTTGGAGTCCTACGTTAGTCATCCTTACCTTCTAAAGCATATTTCAAAGTTACAGAGGCACACAGGTTTTTCCAGGCAGCTCCTGAAGTTATGTTTTATAATATTAGTCACATTTTAAATTTTCTCTCAAGTCTGCAACCCAACACCATTCACACTGTTTTCAGCAATGAATAAAGAAATAAAATGTTATGTTAGTGTTTATTTAATACAAAAATAGATTATAGAATCTCAGCATGTATTTTTATCAAAAACCTTTTTGTGATCACTGCCAATTAAGGAGATACTTACAGCATCCTGCTTTCAGTAACCAAAGATGCATTCTGAGATCTAGAAAGCTTGATGTCGCAGAAGTACAGCCACAATACCATATTGATCACATCCTTTTGTGTATAAAACTTATATCCCCAGGGTTAGTAATTTTAAGTTTCTGCCCCCAAATCATTAATTTTGTATTTGTTCATTTCAAAATATTTGTAACCTGGCTGGCATGGCTCAGTGGCTGAGTGTCAACCTATGAACCAGGTGGTCACGGCTCACAATCCCCAGTGTGGGGTGTGCAGGAAGCAGCCGATCAATAATTCTCTATCATCATTGATGTTTTTCTCTCTCCCTCTCCCTTCCTCTCTGAAATCCATAAAAAATATTTTTTAAAAATATGTGTAAACCTGGTTCTTGTTTTTTATCCCTAATGAACACCATAGACTTTATGTAAAATATGTAGTTAAACTTAGGGATACATTTTTAATCAAAGTACAGTGTACATATTTTTTAATTCTTCCTGCCTTCTCTAATGTATTTACTACATAAAACAATGAGTAAAAATTTAGAAAATAGAGTTTAGATAAAGTGTCTGAGTAGATGGTAAAGGAGCCAGTTCCTTCAGCAACAATCTTTTTATCATTTCAGTGAAATATCCCAAGTTTTATTACCTTTTGTAGGGAAATCTTGGTGTATTTAGTATCTCAATTATAGTCTTAAATATGGAAACACTGGACTAGATGGTCTCTTCATGCTCCTTTTATCCTTAGAGTTGAATGAATTTATGCTTTAAGACCTCATCTCTGTAAGGAAGCGCGTTATGGTAAAGGAAAGAACCCCCCCCCGCCCCGAAAATGCTTATTTTGGTCACTTGATGCACCTTAGGCCCAGTGTACAGTATGTTATTTGATTGAAGCATCTTTCCATATTTCTCCCTCCTGTCATAACCTAGATATTATATCTAGAATGTAGACTAAACTCTTCATACTCACTAACCTTTGTGCATTTGGTTGCTCAGCTCTCTTAAGAGCATCATTTCAGAACTGAAGTAAAGTGAGTATCATTGTTTTTTAGAGATTATGTCATAGCTATTAATTGGAGGCAGATTCTTATAGCTTTGCTTTTTTCTTTTCAAGGTTGAAGAGATGGTGCAGAACCACATGACTTATTCATTACAGGATGTAGGTGGAGATGCCAATTGGCAGTTGGTTGTAGAAGAAGGAGAAATGAAGGTAATTCTCAGTGAAAAGTTATAGGTTGCTAATTGCACCTCTATTCCAGTCATATTGTCGTCATTGATATGAATAAGGATAACATTTAAAAATTACTTTTAAACACATTACTACATATGATCAAAGAAGCACCAGATATTAATAAATAAAATGTCCTTTTGCTTTCCTGGTTTAGCTTTTATATAATTTCTTTATGATCAAATCTATGCACAAACCATTCTGTTTTGCCTAAGCCATGGAGAAATAAAATTTTGTGGTTTAAATATGAACAGGCCACAATTAACTGATGGCTCTCTATTTGGATATTTCTCTCTTTTAAAAAATATTTTTTAATTTATTGATTTTTTAGAGAGAGAGAGAATAAGGGGGGGAGAGAGAGAGAAACATCAATGTGTTGTTCCACTTATTGGTTGATTCTTGTATGTGCACTGACCAGGAATCGAACCAGGGATCTGGGGCCCCTTGGTACACGGGACAACGCTCAGCCAACTGAGCCACACTGGCCAGGGCCATCTGTTTTTTTTAGATTCCACGTATAAGTGAAATCATACAGTATTTGTCTTTTTCTGTCTGACTGATTTCACTGTTGAAAGCTAATTTGTTGTTCAGGAGTTTTATATAGACTATGTTGACCAGAATTATTCTAGCAAATGGGGTGCAATATTAAGTGTTGGAATTTCCTCTCCTCCTGAATAGGGAACAAATCCTCCTATATAATAAAGAGGTAATATGCAGATTGACCATCACGCCCTCCCACAAGATGGCCAGCAGGGGAGGGCAGTTGTGGGAGATCAGGCCAACAGGGAAGGGCAGTTGGGGGGGACCAAGCCAAAAGGGGAGGGCAGTTGGGGGCGACCAGACTGGCAGGGGAGGGCAGTTGGGGCAACCAGGCCAACAGGGAAGGGCAGTTAGGGGTGACCGGGCCTGCAGGGGAGGGAGGGCAGTTGGGGGTGACCAGGCTGGCAGGGTGGGCAGTTAGGGGTGACCAGGCCTGCAGGGAGGGAGGGCAGTTGGGGGCAACCAGGCCAGCAGGGGAGGGCAGTTGGGGGCAACTGGGCCGGCAGAGGAGCAGTTAGGCGTCAATCAGGCTGGCAGGGGAGTGGTTAGGCGGTGATCAGGCGGGCAGGCAGAAGTGGTTAGAGGCAATCAGGCAGGTAGGTAGGCGAGCGGTTGGGAGCCAGCAGTCCTGGATTGTGGAAGGGATGTTGGCTGTCGGTTTACCGGCCGTCACTGAGGGGTCCCAGATTGGAGAGGGTGCAGGCTGGGCTGAGGGACCCCCCCCCCCCCTCCCCCAGTGCATGAGTTTCGTGTACTGGGCCTCTAGTAAGAAATAAGGTAGAAGAGACAGGCAAATGAGATACCAAAATGCTATAATTCTGATGATCTGATTGGATTACAACATGGAGACCAACTGTCACAATGTCTTGCTAATATGTTACCTCTAAACATGTTTCTGAGATACCTGTATAATCAGAGGCCTTTCCCACAAGAGCAAGCCATAAAAGCAGACCAGGATGCATGCTCTCTGCATAAGGGGTTGAGCCACATCTGCTTAGTTCTCCCTCTGTACTCACTATGCAGATAAGTCACTGTTTCTCCCTTAGGGAAGTTCCAGGAAGCGAAGGGACTAAGTAGAAAATAAGTGCTCCTACAACCCACAACATTAGAAATAAATTAGGGCTGGATTATAATATAACCCACTAAAGAGAATAGTCTACCCTTTGTAGCATTAGGTAAGCCACTATGCAAAGTAGCATTTTCAGAAGAGTAAGCTGATAGGGAAGCAGCAAGAGACCAAGAAAACCACTTGAGAAAGTCAGGTACAAGATGTTGAAAGTCTACCTAAAAGAGTAACCATAGTAGAAAAGTCAAGTTGTTTTTTATAGAAGATTGGTAATAATCTTAATAGCCTACGTGAAGTGTGAGAGAAAGAACCAAAAGTCTACACTACAGAGTTCCATTTCAGATGACTCGGAAAATAGCAGACCCAATAGCAAATAAGTAAGTGTGTAGGGAATGGAGTTTGGGGGGAGAGATTGTAAAAGAGAAACTTCATGTGAAATAACTAGTAGTATCTGGCTCCATGGGCACTCCATAAATTGAGAGCTGATTCTTCCTTTGGTAACATTGTTTAATCACTTGTCAAAAGAACTTATTACAGGCCCTGGCCAGGTGGCTCAGTTGGTTGGGGCGCATATGGGAAGCAACCGATCCATGTCTCTTCTCTCTTTCTCTCTCTCTCCCTCTCTCTCATCATGTCCTTAGGTGAGGATTTAAAAAAGAACTTATTACAGAGTTCTCTAAAGTAGCAAGCCCACAATAATTTTGAAATAACTAGTTTTAATCAGCACTCCAGTACACAACCTTATTATTTAAAGCAAGAGAGCATAGATCTTTATTACATTTTAGTTTTCAATCATTGATTCAGCAAATAGTTGCCTTACTGGGTTTCAGATACTATGCTAGATGCTGGGGATATATCAGTGAACACAGCCACCTTAAATCAGTATCCTTAAAGAGATTATGTTTTAACCAGGTTTATTTGTCCTTCTTTGCCATGTTGAACAGTCTTTGAGAATGTTCAGTAAATAATGCCTGATTTAAATTGATACATTCATTTTTTAATAACTCACAGTAATTAGTCATTCATCATATATGCATATTTTTTCATAGTTGAAATTTACCTTGGATTTGTAGTTTTAAATATTTTAATGTGTTAATAATTTAAAATTTTAAACTTAATTTTAACAGAATGTTTATGTTAAATAAAGAGATTTTCGTAAATCCTAAAAAGCTGTTAAATTTGCAAACATGCTTTCAAATGTTTACTTTAGGATTTTTAAACAGATTTTTAATTATGTCCTGTATAGGTATATAGGAGAGAAGTAGAAGAAAATGGGATTGTTCTGGATCCTTTAAAAGCTACCCATGCAGTTAAAGGAGTTACAGGACACGAGGTCTGCAATTACTTCTGGAATGTTGACGTTCGCAATGATTGGGAAAGTAAGCTGCTATTATTAATGTATTTTAATATAATTATTATTTAGAATTTAATATCAAATCCAATCTGATTTTCTTCATATGATCTTTAGTTTGCAAAGTCAATGTAGAAAATATCTGGAGAATCATATAGGGGACTGATAATACTTTATATTTAAATAAAGTTTTTCACACTATAAAATGCTTTGCAGTATTTTTTAGCATTTGATTTAATACCTCAACAATTTTGCATAGATAGGTAATGAAGTAAAATTCAGATAGGTCAAGTGACTTGTCAAAGGCCACAGACCTAGTAGGTGTAAAAGCCAGGACTAAAACTAAGGTTTCTGTTTTATCTACTTTTCTCCTAGATTGTTTTGTTTCCCTGGTAAATCCTACATGAATCCTGCTGTGGTTTGTTTAGTTACTTTGGCAGGGGGTGTTTCCCTTAGACACCAGATTGCATAAATAGATACTTTTGAACATCATAAGACGTATATCAATGACAGTTTGACAATCTTCCCAGTAAATACAGTTACCTAAACCTAGATAGAGCAGTTTATTCAGCTTCAGTAAATTAGGGATTATAGGGAGGGGTCATAGTGTTAGGGAATAATTTGTGCCTGAGTAATGCAGTGTTGATATAGAATCGCCTTCTTGCTGTGGAAGCTAAATGTTGGATAAAGGAAAATAAGATTTCCTGGTGATCAGCTCCCACAGCCACCATCTATAGCCCTAATACTAGGTATTAACTACCTTCCATTTGAACTTAGCCCAAGTGGGGCAGAATCCTGTTCATTCTACTATAATGTTCATTTGTAATTGACTCTCAGTATAAGTGAATTAATCACCTTCTAGGAAAAAGCAATGTCTTTTTGGCTACTAATATTTTCCCTTCATTTCAGCAACTATAGAAAACTTTCATGTGGTGGAAACATTAGCTGATAATGCAATCATCATTTATCAAACACACAAGGTAAATATCTCTTCATCCCTAAAGGATTTCACTATAATTCAAACAGACATATAAATTGTCTAAAATAAAATTTGACAGGAAATTAAATGCCAGAAAAGATCTAAAGGCTTTATTAATAATTCAGGAATGCAAATATTTTTCTAGCAGCTAGTCTATAGGAGATTGATAGTTATCGAATATGAAAGTGAATCATAGTTTCCTATGACATCAATATAATAAGAAGTGGAAAAGTATGTTATTTGCCTGTGTTAAGACTAATAGATATGAAAATGATCTTAAGTGGATTATCTAAAAACAATGAAAAGTTGCTGAGCATAACTACTGAGAAGTTGGTCATACACCAGAGCACACCGAAGCATTGTCATTTAAATTGATTCCCTTTTACTTCATTTCTTCCTTTGCTAATCTATATTTAACATTTTAGAATAATATTCATCTTACTTTATTCTACTCTCTTCCCCTTCTGAAAATTGCCAAATAGTATTTCAAATAAAGAATAATAAACTTGGAAGAGATCCACAAAAAGTAATATTATGTTATATAGGAAATATAATGATTCAATAAGTACTTCATTTTTTATTCAAGTGACTTTTATTTTTTTAATGTATCTTTATTGATTTCAGAGAGTAAGAGAGAAGGAAAGAGAGATAAAAACATCAATGATGAGAGAGAATCATTGATTGGCTGCCTCCTGCACATCCCCTACTGGGGATCAAGCCCACAACCCAGGCATGTGCCCTTGACCAGAATCAATCCTGGGATTGATCCTTCAGTCTGCAGGCTGACGCTCTATCCACTGAACCAGCTAGGGTTCAAGTGACTTTTTAATTGAGCTGAATATGTGAAAATATTTGAGATTTGCTCTGTATTTCTTAAACTCAGTCTTTCACCTGAGGCATTTTATATCTAACTAGAGGCCCAGTGCACGAAATTCATGCACTGGGGGCAGGGTTCCTCAGCTCCGCCTGTGCCCTCTTGCAGTCCGGGACCCCTCGGGGGATGTAGCAGTGTGCCAAGCGGCAGGCGGCCAGGGAGGAGCCCAAATTGGGGCCGGGCGCTGCTCACGCTCATCCTGGTCTGCTGCGCCAGCTGCCACGGAGTTGGGAGAGGCTCCTGTTGTGGCAGCTGCGCTCCCCAGCCGTGAGCCCAGCTTCTGGCTGAGTGGCGCTCCCCCTGTGGGAGCACACTGACCACCAGGGAGTAACTCCTATGTTGAGCGTCTGCCCCCTGGTGGTCAGTGTGCATCATAGCAACCGGTTGTTCCACTGTAACAGTCACTTAGGCTTTTATTATATAGGCTAGAGGCCCAGTGCATGAATTCATGCACCAGTGGGGTCCTTCCACCTGGCCTGCGGGATTGGGCTGAAACTGGCTCTCCAACATCCCCCAAGAGGGTCCTGGATTGCGAGAGGGCTCAGGCCAGACCAAGGGACCCCACTGGTGCACGATCGGAGCTGGCAAGGGACGTGGGAGGTTGTCCAGCCGGGGAGGGACCACGGGAGGGCTCCAGGGCATGTCTGGCCTGTCTTGCTCATTCCCGATCAGCCAGACCCCAGCAGGAAGCTAACCTACCAGTTGGAGCATCTGCCCCCTGGTGGTCAGTGCACGTCATAGCAAGCGGTTCAGTGGCCCTAGCATGTCATTAGCATATTATGCTTTGATTGGTTGAACGGTCAACCAGACACTTAGCATATTAGGCTTTTATTATATAGGATGACTATAAGCTAGGCTTCATTTTACATGGTAGCTGCTCAAGAAATGTGTAAAAATGAAGATTCTATTTCAACATACAGATTTGTGCAGGGTTTAAGTGTAATCTGAAATTTAGTAGATGTTAAAATATCAATTAATTGCTCTATAATTTAGAATAAAGATAAATGGCCAATAATTTAGAATCAGAAGAATCTTATTATTTGATGATAATTGATCCAGGAAAACAATCTGCCAATATTTCACTTGGTAAATAATAGATGGAAGGGAGGATTATATAGGTTGTATTAGGTTTATTTCTTGAAAAATAAAACTAAAAATTATTAAAATAATGTATCATACATAACAAAATTTAAGTTACAATTATAATTATTTGAATAAAAAAATCCTGGCATATTTCTTTTTCAACAAAATCCAATAACGCTATGTACATCTTTTTTCTTTAGATTTGGCTTCTTTTATAATATGGTCTTAAAGAGGACTACTCATCTTCTAATATTTAAGTCATCTCATTCTTTAAATTTCTCTCATCATCCTCCTTTTGGATTTGCATTTATTAGAAGCTAACCTACCGGTTGGAGCATCTGCCCCCTGGTGGTCAGTGTGCATCATAGCAACCGGTATAGTGTGCTATGAAGCACACTGACATTAATTAATAATAATTAATTTATTATTCTTTATTTGAAATACTATTTGGCAATTTTCAGAAGGGGAAGAGAGTAGAATAAAGTAAGATGAATATTATTCTAAAACTTTAAATGTATTTAAATATCAAATATCATTCTAACATGATTAAACTTTCATTTATTACTAGTTTCACACACATTTCTCCAACACTACTTTTGTTGACTGCATGAAATTTTGTATCTTTAAAATATAAACCATTTCACTTTGCAAATGATTTGTGTTGTGTTGACACTAAGTTGTTGGCTACTTTTTATAGTCAACAATCAGAAAAGACAAGGCATATTTTCTCTCATTTAAAAGTACAAAAGCCCCAGTTTTCTGAGACCTAGGGACCATATCATTCCAACAGTATATGTTTCTCCTTGTATACCATAAAACTCAAAGATTCTGTCTACCTGATTTGGAATTCTTCAAGTGTGATTATATCAAAAGAGTAGTCTTCTTTCCCTAAAATCTTTGCTTAAAGTCTCTGAACAATTTAAGCTGAGGTTTAATACTATAGTTAAAAGAAAGATATTACCAGGGTTTGAGGAAGGGGGTGTAATGCTGTGTCATTTCTTAGTAGGTACAGAGTTTCTATTTGGTATGATAACAATTTTTTGAAAATGTGGTAATGCTTACATAACATTCTGAATGTATTCATGGCAATGAATTGTATACTTAAAAATAGTTTAGCAAATTACTACAATTTATAAAAAAATAAAAATAGCAGAACACTATTCCTTTGCTATAGTTCTGCAAAGCCATTAACTCACTGTCCATAATTAATCCCTTGGTGGGTGTTCTCAGATGCTTTTCATTTAAAATTTGACAGATTTTTACCTTCAACTAAGATATTTATTGATTTTACATTTGTTTCTCTGTTAGTTACATATTACAAATGAATAAAGAATTGTTCAAATTTTCAAATGATTTTTACTTCTTCCACAGAGAGTGTGGCCTGCTTCTCAGCGAGATGTATTATATCTTTCTGCCATTCGAAAGATACCAGCCTTGACTGAAAATGACCCTGAAACTTGGATAGTTTGTAATTTTTCTGTGGATCACGATAGTGCTCCTGTAAGTGCATTGTATAAATGTGTACAATTGTATAATATAAAGCTAACTATACATGCAGTACAAAAATGATAAACACATGCCAGACACACACAGATACTAGAGTTGATAATTCTTAGATTTTGTATTATTTTGGCTTCTTAGAATAATATAACCTGTGTATTATCTGAAGGACAGTAGTCATGGCTGTGAACATTTCAGCAGGTCTCTTTTCCTTTGTTCCTGAGATGAGGTGAGACAGCACTGATAGGTAGTATATGCAGACTACTACTCACAGTTGCCTCTTAAGTCATGATCAACTACTGGCAAAACCTCTGGTTGCTACCTCGATTTAGCTCCATTTACTACGTAAAAGGAGGAGAAATCTTATCAGTTTGGCATGTGTTGTTTGATCCTTGTAAGATTTTGTTGAATATTTTGATGAGTTGAGGTTTCAGCTTACTTAGTATAGTATTATTAGACTAGTAGAGATTACAAAATACTGGGTATCTGCTATACTGCTGTTTCATTTTTATTTTTTGTTTTGGCAGCTGAACAATCGATGTGTTCGTGCCAAAATAAATATCGCTATGATTTGTCAAACCTTGGTTAGCCCACCAGAAGGAAACCAGAAGATTAGCAGGGACAACATTTTATGCAAGATTACATATGTAGCTAATGGTATGTATTTCGTTGTTTGTTTTTGCTATTTGGTAATGTGGATGTTCTTAGTGTGATCTACATGATAACTAACCATTTGGACAAATACCATTACAAATGCCTTTTGAGTTTTTATCCTTTAGATTAGTAATTTTTAATTTGGAAAGATGTATATCAAACTTTCAGGAAATATACATACCTGCCTTCCACCCCAGAACTACTATATCAGAATTTTTTAAGCTTGGACTAGATAGGTAAATTTTAAAACTTTAGGCCAACTGGCGTGGCTCAGTAGTTGAGTATCAACCTATGAACCAGGAGATCATGGTTCCATTCCTGGTCAGGGCACATGGCCTGGGTACAGGCTCGATCTCCAGTCGGGGGCATGCAAGAGGCAGCTGATGTTTCTATCTCTCCCTCTCCCTTCCTCACTGAAATCAATAAAAATACTTTTTTTTAAAAACTTTATATTAAGATCACTATCACATATCCTTGGTTTTAAGAACCATTTTATTAAGTATTTACCTAAAAGAATATACGTAGAATTAGAAATGTAAGCAACAGTGGGAAAGGAAATTAGCAGTTCTTTTTCTTTTTTTTTTCTTTTAGTGGTTCTTTTTCTTATTGTCAGGCTTGCTCATTTTTTTCATCATTGATTGGTCCCTAATCCTTATTAGTTGTTACTTACATGTTTGTTTTATATTGACTTGCTGCTGGACAGCCTTGTTGCTTTGGTTCCTTATTACTAAACCCATTTCCTACTTGTAGTAGTTATTGAAATCCAAATCCTCATACCTTCTTTATACAGGACCATAACTGCTAGTGTTCTTTAAAGAGATAGTTATGCCTGAGTAAGTTATTATCCCATACTAGAGGCCTGGTGCACAAAATTCGTGCACTCGGGGGGAGAGGAGGGTCCCTAAGCCCAAATTGTGAGAGGGCGCAGGCCAGGCCTAAGGACCCCACTGGTGCACGATCGGGGCCAGGGAGGGATGCAGGAGGTTGGCCAGTGGGGGAGGTACCGCGGGAGGACTCCAGGCATGTTTGGCCTGTCTCGCTCAGTCCCGATCAGCCAGACCCCAGCAGCAAGCTAACCCACCAGTCAGAACATCTGCCCCCTCGTGGACAGTGCACGAGCAGTTGAGCGGCCTTAGCATATCATTAGCATATTACACTTTGATTGGTTGAATGGAAGACTATACAACTGGACACTTAGCATATTAGCCTTTTATTATATAGGATAATAAAAGGCTAATATGCAAATCGACGGAACAGCAGAACGACCGATTGCTATGACGCGCACTGACCACCAGGGGGCAGACGCTCAACGCAGGAGCTGGCCCCCTGGTGGACAGTGCGCTCCCACAGGGGGAGCGCTGCTCAGCCAGAAGCTGGGCTGACGGCTGGCAAGCGCAGCGGTAGTGGTGGGAACCTCCACAGCAGGCAGACATCCCCTGAGGGCTCCCAGACTGCGAGAGGGTTCAGGCTGGGCTGAGGGACCCCTCTCCCCTTGAGTGCACGAATTTTTGTGCACTGGGCCCTCTAGTCTATATATATATATATATAATAGCCCAGCCGTGGGCAAACTACGGCCTGCGGGCCGGATCCGGCCCGTTTGAAATGAATAAAACTAAAAAAAAAAAAAAAAAAAAAGACCATACCCTTTTATGTAATGATGTTTACTTTGAATTTATATTAGTTCACACAAACACTCCATCCATGCTTTTGTTCCGGCCCTCCGGTCCAGTTTAAGAACCCATTGTGGCCCTTGAGTCAAAAAGTTTGCCCGCCCCTGTAATAGCCTAATATGCAAAGTGTCCCCTCAGGAGTTCAACTGACCGGGAGTCCCATCGCCAGCTATGACATGCGCTGACCACCAGGGGGCGGCACAGAATGAAGGGCCTCAGCTGGCAGCCAGCAGCCACTAGGGACCCTACCCGTGCATGAATTTCGTGCACTGGGCCTCTAGTTTGATTATAGTAGAGTTTAATGAAAAGATCTGCCTCAACCTAAAGTGTAGCTGTACTAATATTTAAATATATTTTAGGGAAGTAAGAACAATTTAGAAAGGTAATAAATGCTTTCTTATTTGCTCTCTGTTCTTGTTTGGTAGTTAATATGAAGGATTAATGGTCAAGACTTTTAAGAGATGCCAATTGTTCCAACATCATGAAATTTTTTAAAGCAAAGGAACAAAATGAGTGCTTCATGTGTATTTGGAGAATTGTATCTTAACATTTTAATTTTTCTTTAACTCGTAGTGAACCCCGGAGGATGGGCACCAGCCTCAGTGTTAAGGGCAGTGGCAAAACGAGAGTATCCAAAGTTTCTAAAACGTTTTACTTCTTACGTCCAGGAGAAAACAGCAGGAAAACCTATTTTGTTCTAGTATTAACAGGTACTGGAAGATAGATGTTATCCTTTTAAATTTTGACTAACATGACTCTGTAGACCAGGAATGGGGAACATTTTTTCTGCCAAGGCCCATTTGGATATTAAAACATCATTTGCAGGCCAAACAAAATTATCAGCCTAAAAATTAGCCTGCTATATTTGGTCAAACATTTAATTTACTCACCCCTAATGCCTTGGCAGGACCAGACCAAATGATTTTGTGGGCCTTATACGACCCACAGGCCAGACATTCCCCACCCCTGCTGCAGATACTAAAATTTAGTTAACTGTTGAAAGTAGTTTCTGTGTTTTATGATGTTCCCAGATAAAGAGTTGTTGTTTTTATAGCCTTAAAACTTACATTTTTATCTTTCTATGTTAAATAATACCTGCTTATTTAAAGAAATTTCAACATTATAGAACTGCAGAATTTCAGAAGTACAAATTCCCTATATCTTTCCCTTTGCAGAAATTACTGTTAGGTTTGTGATATATTCTTCCAGATTTTTACATGTATGTACTTACATATATGAATTTTTAATTGTTTAAAAAATACGTTTATATTATTTTGCAGCTTGTTTTTCTACTTAATAATAAATTTTAACTATTATTCCATATAAAGATACGAGACATATACAACCATCTCACTGTTTTAAAATGTTATATAAATGTTGCAGAATTTATTAACTAGTCTCTATGGTAACATCTGTTTTGGTTTCATATTTTTACTGTCAAATAATGCTGCATTGAACATCTTTGTGCAAGGAGCCAGAATCTTTAATTATCTGTAAATAAGTGATGTGTTAACATGGTTCAAAAGTCAAAAGTATGAAAAGATAGAGTAAAATTTATCCCCTATTCACTCAGTTTTGTCCTCCCTCCACACACAGAAAAGTGTATTAACTGATATTACTAGTTTCTTTGTATTTTTAATGCCTGAATAAGCAAATACAATTATAATCTTCCCACAGATACTCTTTTGTTGTTGAAGAAAATGTAGCATACTATAAACACCGTTCTGCATCTTGTTTTTGCACTTTATTATCTTGAAGGTTTTTACAGTTCAATGGGGAGCCTCTTTTTTTAAGGCTATATAGTATCTCATTGTTTGAATGTACTCTTGCCATGTAGTTTTAATTGTACTTCTCATATTATGAATGAGTTTGAGCGTCTTTTGGTCCATTGGAGAACATTTGTATAATTCTGTTTCTGTGAACTCTCAATGTGTGTTAGCATTTAAATGTTTTTCTTTAAAATTTATTTTTAATCCTCACCCAAGGCTATGTTTTTTTATTTTTATTTTTTATTTTAGAGAGGGAGGAAGGGAGAGGGAGAGCAACAGAGAGAAACATCAATCAGTTGCCTCTTATATGCATGCACCCTGGCCAGAAATTGAGACCACAACCTGAGTATGTGTTCTGACCAGGAATCAAACCCACAACCTTCTGGTGCATTGAACGATGCTCCAACCACACTGCCCAGGGCAGCATTTAAATTTTTAATAGAAGCTTGGCTGGCATGGCTCAGTGGTTGAGTGTTGATCTATGAACTAAGAGGTCATGGTTTGATTCCCAGTCAGGGCACATGCCCGGATTGCAGGCTCGATCCCCAGTGTGGGGAGTGTAGGAGACAGCCAATTAATGATTCTCTCTCATCATTGATGTTTCTTTTCTTTTTTTAATTAAATCTCTATTCAGATTATTACAGTTGTTTCTCTTTTTTCCCCCCATAGCTCCCCTCCACCCAGTTCCCACCCCACCCTCTGCCTTTACCTCCCTCCCCCCCACTGTCCTCATCCATAGGTGTATGATTTTTGTCCAGTCTCTTCCTGCACCCCCCACACTCCTTTCCCCCCCGAAAATAGTCAATCCACTCCCTTTCTATGCCCCTGATTCTATTATATTCACCAGTTTATTCTGTTCATCAGATTATTTATTCACTTAATTTTTAGATTCACTTGTTTATAGATGTGTATTTGTTGTTTATAATTTGTACCTTTACCTTTTTCTTCTTCTTCCTCCTCTTAAAGGATACCTTTCAGCATTTCGTATAATACTGGTTTGGTGGTGATGAACTCCTTTAGCTTTTTCTTATCTTTGAAGCTCTTTATCTGACCTTCAATTCTGAATGATAGCTTTGCTGGGTAAAGTAATCTTGGTTGTAGGTTCTTGCTATTCATCACTTTGAATATTTCTTGCCATTCCCTTCTGGCCTGCATAGTTTCTGTTGAGAAATCAGCTGACAGTCGTATGGGTACTCCCTTGTAGGTAACTGACTTTTTTTCTCTTGCTGCTTTTAAGATTCTCTCTTTGTCTTTTGCTCTTGGCATTTTAATTATGATGTGTCTTGGTGTGGTCCTCTTTGGATTCCTTTTGTTTGGGGTTCTCTGTGCTTCCTGGACTTGGAAGTCTATTTCTTTCACCAGGTAGGGGAAGTTTTCTGTCATTATTTCTTCAAATAGGTTTTCAATATCTTGCTCTCTCTCTTCTTCTGGCACCCCCATAATTCGGATGTTGGTACGTTTGAAGTTGTCCCAGAGGCTCCTTACACTATCTTCATATTTTTGGATTTTTTTTTCTTTTTGTTTTTCCGGTTGGGTGTTTTTTGCTTCTTCGTATTTCAAATCTTTGACTTGATTCTTGCAATCCTCTAGTCTGCTGTTGGAACTCTGTGTAATATTCTTTATTTCAGTCAGTGTATGATTAATTTCTAGTTGGTCCTTTTTCATAACCTCGAGGGTCTCACTAAATTTATCGGCGGTCTCACTAGACTTATTGAGGGTCTTACTAAATTTATCGGCGGTTTCTAGAAAATTCTTGGAAAACCTTATAAGTGTGGTTTTGAACTCTATATCCAGTAGTTTGCTTTCCTCCATTTCTGTCATTTGTGACCTGTTTCTTTGTCTCTGCATTTTTTATGCTTCCCTGTGTTGGTAGAGTGGCTTTCTGTGCTAGGTGTCCTATAGGGCCCAGTGGTTCATCCTCCCTAATTACCTGAGGTGGACACTCTTGGTGTACCCCTTTGTGGGCTTTGTACACAGTCTTGTTGTAGTTAAGCCTTGATTGTTGTAGGTATCACTGGGAGGAATTGACCTCCAGGCCAATTGGCTGTGAGAATCAGCTGTGTCTGCAGTGGGGGAACTTCTGTGCTGGAGACACCCTTCTGGGGCAAGACTTGCTTCAGTGGGGCTTTGGTGCTCACTGAGTCTGCCCCCTGAGTGTGTCCCTTATGGATCTGAGGAGTTGTAATCTGGATGGTCCCACTCTGACCACTGGGTACACTGGCTCTTGGATCTAAGGAGGTGCTAATTTAGCCTCTGCCTGAGGCTACCCAGCAGGAGCCCTGCTGTGAAGCAATGCAAGCTGCTGTGGGGCCTTGGGCCTTCTTTTGAAAGTTCTGGGTTTCTCTGGCTCAGCTGCAGTTTGTTAGGTAATTTTCAGATTGCAAAGGGCCAGGCCTTTCATATGCAAAAGCCTCTGTGCACAGCTTGGGTGGGGCGGGGTCTCTGGGGATCAACAGGGCGGAGCAAGCAGCTATGGCTGCTCCTCAGTCCTACCCTAAGAGGCCCCACTTCTCAGTGTCCCAGCAGTCGCTGCAAGTACCTCTGAGAGAAAGCCACCCTCGAGTTCCGACCGATGCCAGACAGTCCAGTTTCTCCCCGTATGAGTCTGGGTCTCCAGAGACTTTCCTGGAACTGGAGTTCAGAGCAGTCAGGAGCTTGAGACTCCCTCCCGATTGAAAAAGACAACCATGTCCTCAGTTTCCAGCCCTTTCCACGTGCGCCTCCGTACCTCTGCACTTTTCTTCCAACACCGCACCTCCTCTGAGTCTCAGTGTGCTTTTCTCTTTCCTTCTAGTTGTAGAATTTCCACTCAACCAGCCTTCCTGTGGTTCTGGATGATGTCCGTTTTGTCTTTTAGTTGTATTTTTGAAGTTGTTGTGCGAGGCAGCAATTTCCGGTGTTTACCTATGCCGCCATCTTGGTTTCTCCATTATTGATGTTTCTATCTCTTTACCTACCTCTTTGAAATCAATTGAAAAAAATTTGTAATAGATATTACCCAAGTATAAGTTACAGGCAGTAAGTATATATGAACATCTTCTCATTCTTTTCTATACTGAATGTTAAATCATTGGCTGAGAAATTTATATTCTTGAGTAGATAAAAATAATATAGTCAACCATATGACTGATGTCTTTAATTAAATCTGGTTTCTGAAGCTGTCTATAGTATATCTTTTTGTTTTGTTTTATTTTGTTAATCCTCACCCTAGGATATTTTTCCATTGATTTTTAGGGAGAGTGTAAGCAGGAGGGAAAGACAGAGAGAAACATTGATGTGAGGAAAAGCACATCGATTGGTTGCCTCCTGCATGAGCCCTGACGAGGGCCCAGGCCAGGGAGGAGCCTGTAACCAAGGTACATGCCCTTGCCGGAATCGAACTCGGGACCCATTGGTCTGCAGCCTGCCGCTCTATCCACTAAGCCAAACTGGCTAGGGCTATAGTATGTCGTTTTTAAAAAGACCTGAAAAGCTAAATCTATTATCACATGCTAACACAAGGGTTATTATTGCACTGACGTCCTAGATCAGGGGTCCTCAAACTTTTTAAACAGGGGGCCAGTTCACTGTCCCTCAGACCGTTGGAGGGCTGGACTATAGTTAAAAAAAAACAAACTATGAACAAATTGCTATGTACACTGCACATACCTTATTTTGAAGTAAAAAAACAAAACGGGAACAAATACAATATTTGTATTTGCATGTGGCCCGCAGGCCGTAGTTTGAGGACCCCTGTCCTAGATATTTAGATTTTCCCAGGAAAAAGGTGACCAGAAAATGTTAAACAGATTCTGGCCTTACTGATCTGAATGCTTAGTGTTTTGGAATACAGCCTGACCTTTGAGGAATTCTCTTTCTTCAGGCATAAGTGCGTTGCCTAAATGTGCTGACTATTTTTAGACTATTTTGTACTTAGGATTATTATGACTAGATCTGGACACATAATTTCTGCACCATATTTGTCAAACCAGAAACCTGATGCCACACAATGGCAGTAGACTTGTCACCTTGCCTAAAGATTTCTAAAAAGTTGCTGTTTGCTCTAACCAAGACTAAGTATTCAACTCTGTCTGCTTTCTCTCTTCACCCCCACACCCAGCCTTACTTGCAGGGCAGAAAATATAACCATGTATTAAGCAGGATAAAATCAGAATGCAGTTATATACAGGGTCAAGCAAAAGTGGTTTACATTTGGGAGTATGCAAAACACATAGTTTATTCTTGTATTACATATTTATTAAATATTGTATTCTTTTCCATACAAACAACTGTAAACCTTATTTTGCCCACCCCTGTATAGAACATGTTCTCAACTATGTTTGAGAGGACTAATTTCTTAAACATTTCAAATATACACACTCACACATTACTAGCATTTGCCTCTAAACTGTTTGATTTGGAGCATTGTTTTATTGACTGACTGTGTGTGGCGGGAAGCGGGGGGCGGTGTCCTCATTCTTCTTTAGTGGACCTAGGAGGGAAGTGGTTGAAATCCCTTGGAAAAAAAATTCAAGGGGGAGGAGGTAGCATTGTTTGTGGACCTTTCTGTATGTATGTAAAGATAGAAATAAAAAAAAGACTCACTGGCCAACAATTAGCACTGGCCTTGAATCCATATTGAGCTTCTTTCTGACAAAGAACCTAAATTCTAACCTTAACATGTGGTAAAAATCTTTGTTCACCTAAAGTAATGTTTGTTTCATAATAACGAAGATGTATCTATGAAGTGGATTCTAGCACTGTAACCTTAAGAAAACTAACATGCTTAACTTCGGTGATGGAGAAGTAACTGTCATTAATCAGCATCGTCTTTAGAGAAATTCCATAAAGTTAATAAGGTCCAAAGATTTTCAAAACTCGTAGTCAGATTTCTTAAACACATTTGATGATGTCTGTGCCTGTTTGTTTTTTAAGTCTTTTCATAGCCTAAGTAAATTTTTAAAATTCTTGAAAAATTACATAGCATAATTTTTATTGAATACTAAGAAGGAAATGCCAGTTTGTGGGGTACAAATCCAGAGACCTTTGGTTGATTCCCTCTTTGTTTACCTGTAGTAAGTACATTACCCTTTTACATTTCTAGCTTTCAGAGATTCCTTATACCTTCTGTTCCTTCTGATGAACAGTTTTATATTCTTAAAGTTGAAAATCCTTTAAAGATAAATTTTAAGAGAGAATCTATGCATTCCATGAATTCAGAGGGTAGGGGGAATCTATTCTGGTAGTCTTGCCGTTGTTAGCAATATATTGCTGAATTTTTAATTTGTCATTTTCTTTCCTACAGTGACTGAAACAAGGCTGTGTGACATTCCATGTTGGAGGGAAAACTTAAAAAAAACCACACACACACACAAATTGAATGCTCTAAGCTGGAACGTAGGATCTACAGCCTTGTCTATGGCCCAACACCTTGACTTTGTGTACAAAAATGAAGAAATGTTGCAATAGCAAAGCTGAACGTCTAACCCAAGCTGTCTACCGCTAGACCTCCATGCTCAGCTATAATTATAAATACATGTAAAATTACATGTACATGGCTATATTTTTATTTGCTTGCTCCTAAAAGAGAGAAAAATCAACTTTGAATCACAACTAGGAATTGATGCTTTAATTTTTGGAAACTTTTTCAGAATTTTTAATTTAGTATATGGTCCAGCCTAAGATCCTCTGTTGTATCAGGTTTTGTGCACAAAAGAAAAGCACGAAAGTGGAATGCTCATGGGGCATGTGCTTTCTGTGCACCAAATACCTGGACGGGGCTCTTTTTTCAGGCCTGCAGTTCAGTCTGTGTCTAGAATTTTTCAACCTTTTTTTTTTGCTTGTATAATCATAGAATTCATTGCTGCTTATTTCTGTACTGATTCATGTAGTAATGTAAAGTGTCTCTTAATAACTGAGGGCTGTTAATAACCTGTGATTTTGCCTTTTCTATATTCTTACTCCCGTGAAGAACCTTTGTTCTGATGGAGAAAGAATGAAAAGCTTTATTCCTCTCCCCCCTCCTACAACCCCAGTTATCTTTATAGTTCCTGTATTTTTAGTTGTGTTCTGTACACTATAGCTTTTTTTTTTTTTTTTCAGTTTGTTAGAAACAGAATTTGGCAGTTTCTAAATTGGTTCTGCCTGCCTTTGAACAGAAACATCTGTATAAATCTTGTGGGTATAAACTGCTTTCTGGAAAAATGGTTAGGATAAAATGAACTCAGAATTTTTAATGAAATTTGTAAGGATATGCAGTTATTACTTGTGAAAGCAAATCAGACTGAGTTTGACATTTGATTCAATATTTTTAGGACTCAGTAACCGGTATGTTTTTTAGTTTTTCTAATTTGGGTTAGTTTAAAAGATATATTGCAAGATACGCATAGAAATGTGAGCAGTGCTTCTGTTTGCCTTTTGATCAGAAACTTCAGCAGAGCTTTAACGTATTCCATGTGATTCAGACTGAGATTCTTTCCTTAGTGGCTATAAGAACTTAAATGTAAAATCCTTTTTTAGTTTTATTAGTTTTAGGCCTTTGTGAAAAACCGTGAAGCATGAAGTTGAGGCAAGGAATTATACTCATCGAAGTAGAAATGACTGCCCACTTCAAAATCTTCATTATGTTTCTACACAAACGTGCTTGCATAAATCAGAGGCAGGCATTTTGTAGATGCTTTGCTGACTTACTCATCTCTGTAGAAACACAGAAATCCAACCCATTTTGTAAAGCAGAAAGTCATGTCACGTGGAACATGTCTTGTATATATTTCATATGTGGTATTGGAGTCTTAATGATAAATGCAAGGTGATAATTTAATGATGGGATTAGTCTGGTCACTTCATATGCACAATCCTGGAGGTGAATTACTTGCATCAAATATAGTGGTATTTATTATTCTGTACAGAGAGGAAATACATATAAAACATATGCTTACATTACATGCACGCAGATTTCATGCTCCATAAATCTTTTCTATTTTTTAATTTACTTTTCTCTAAATGATGTGCATGGAATATGCCTTATTATAGAAAAATGCTGTTCATAATTTGACTACGTGGAAAAGTGCCTATGGTGGTAATGCTAGTAAGGCAAATAAGACAAATTCTATCAGTTTACTACATCACCAGTTAACATTTTATATTGTGATGTTTAAAAAAGAAAAGTTTATACCTCAAATGTGTATTTTATTTTACAATCAGCTGTGGGTCAGGGTGTGGGAGTATGGGAGGGTTGGGGAGGGAAGGTATATTCACCATAGATGCTGATGGAATCTTCAAAAAAAGTTCTGTATGCCCACTATAAATGTTTCTCTGTTTGCCATTTTTTTCTGGTAACTATCATGAACACAGACAAGTAACTCTTTCGTAACTAAATTAAATAGCTTTGTTTTTCAAAGGTATGGAAAGTTTACAAAGCAGTATCTAAATCTAATTATCATTAGTTGCATTTGCACTAAATGTTAATGATATACTTTTGCAATTCTGTAAATAAAATGATTACTCTAAAATATTTGTATTAAAAAGGAAAAGAAAAAGATACATTTTACCTTTAGATAACTGCACTGGTACTTTACTAGAGTTAATCCTGTCCAACCAGATTTAGAAATGAGTAGGAGAGTATGAAAAGAATTTAAAACAGGTTATAATTTGGATAGGTACTAGCCCTTTAGACAATTTTCAGACCCTCTAGAATTCCGTGTGGCTAATTCCTACATACTCTGAATATACATGATGTTTTCTCATCCATAGTTATTTTCTACTTCTCTTCCCCAAGCCAAAAAAAATTATCTTTTTACTCTTTTTTCTACTCAGTTACTCTTTTTGTACTATGATAGAAACTTTAAAAATATTGGTGATAAGGGATTTTGTTCCCTGAGTGCCCGCTCTACAGTTCAAGAGAAAGAGCACAGTGTTTCAGTTAGAATTCAGGACTCGTGGTTTTGAGGTGGAGGGTGATCATAGCAGCTCTTGGTTTGGGATCGCCACAGGGGCAGCCAGACCTGGGAGGAGGTTGACTGGGAGAGGTGTAAGAATACAAAATAAGGCAATGGAGGAATAGGTTTCCCATTTTTCAGTTTCATCAACTAATTTGTACACCTATACAACATCAGTGTCGATTGCTTTGAGAAGTTTTTAGTAGGGCTGAGCTGGTTCTCGTGAAATTGTACTGGTTATCTTTAAACTTATCAGTTGTTTGTCCAATTAAACATTTTCTCCAGTATTTAGTCCAAGTTATACAGACGATGTATGTGGATTATCGTTATTGTTCATCTACAAACTCAAAACATAATCATTTTAAAGTACCTTGGGAGTGTATAGAGTGTAACTATTCTATAATAGCTTTATGATCCTGATGATGTTTTTTTAAAAAAAAAATAATAAAGTTGGATCTTCCATGTTACAATCGCAAAATTAAAACCAGTATTTAAAAGTGGAAAAGTATTAAAATATTATGGACAAATGTGCTTGTTTGATTGTTTTTCTTCACCCCACGATACTGTCCTTCATAATTCTCCGAGTAGTTAAGAGCTTGAAATACTCCAGTTTATTGTTCTTCAAACTAGGTTGTAGCCCAGCTAGGTATCAAGAAAACTGTTAGTGAGTTATGGTCCAATTATTTTCTTAAAACAGAATGGAATAATCAAGTACATAGAATAATAAAGGTAAATACTTTGTGACTATTTTTTCATATGTATAAATATGTGTGTATAGTGGGTTACAATTTAAAATGAATTTTTTACTATGTGTCATAGTCCAAAATTTTTTTTAATTGCTAGACAATGGAAGTATATATAGTTGGAAATTTCTAAAATGAAACTACAGTGCCAATCCACACATATTTAACTACATGAATTTAGCCATAATAAGTCATTTCTCATTTATTGAGTGCTAGATACATGAGAATGAGTAAGACAGGAATAATGATAAGAAGGTGGCAAATACTTCGGGTTTTAAGCTTTAAGTCCCTTGGCTTGTCAGGGTTAGTTTACAGGACTGCAGCAAGGGAGAAAACTAGGAGGAGACAGACTTTCTCCGGGGAGAAACATTGCAGGCTATGCAAAGTAGTTGATTTTTGTTCTGCCAGCAATGGGAGTCCCTGAGGGCTTTTTTGAACATTTTTCTTTTACACATCTGAGAAAAATCAGTGGGACTTGGTGCCCGGTTTTGTTTGGATGTGGAATAAATCAACTGTTACCATTGTTTTTACTTGTAAATAATTCCCATGCTAATGATAGAAATGAGGAGGGGAAATCAGGAGTTTTTAACTTGAGAAATGGAAGTGATAGCATCTCAAACTGTAGCTGCTTAGTAGTTACTACCATGTTTATAAAATACTAGAGGCCAGGTGCATGGATTCGTGCACTGGTGGGGTCCCTCGGCCTGGCCTGCAGGGATTGGGCCAAAACCGGCTCTCCAACATGCCCCAAGGGATCCTGGATTGCGAGAGGGCACAGGCCAGGCCAAGGGACCCCACCAGTGCACGAATCTGTGCACCAGGCCTCTATAATAATAAAAATGTAATATGCAAATCAAACAGCTGGACAGCAGATCTACCATCTGGACCACCTTCCAGATGAAGCCAGGGCTGTGGGGGCTGGCCTACTCTTGCATGAATTCATGCATTGGGCCTCTAGTATGCATATAAGATCTTTGGTTAACCTCTTCCCAACCTCCCCCATCCCCTCTGAGATTCATCAGTCTGTTCCATGTTGCCATGCCTGTGGTTTCCGCTCCTGCGTTGAGCATCTGCCCCCTGGTGGTCAGTGCACATCATAACTACAGGTCGGACGGTTGCTTACACTTTTATATATATAGATAAAAGTTATGTGAATGTGGTCTGATAATCTAGGCAGCCATTCAGTGACTAACAGGCAGGTAACATACAACGAGGATACACTGGGCAAACGGATGATTCATGTCCCAGGTGGAAGAAAACAGGATGGCATGAGATTTCATCACACTACTAAATTGTTTATTTCTGGAATTTTCCACTTAATACTTTTGAACTGCAGGCAACAAACCACTGAACATGAAACTGCGGATAAGAGGCCAAAGTAATGTACTATAATATTGCTTGTTGTACTAATCTAGCAGCTGTAATAATAAGCTTATCAGCCCAACTAGCTTGTAAGCCTCAGAACATAGGGCCCCATCTAAAATAAGCATTTTCAATGGAATGTATATTTGAGGCAGCAAATTAGGGGGGGGGGGATTGATAGTTTGTTGTACACCTGAAACTAACACATTGTATGTCAACTATATATTAAAAAAGCAAACCCTCACTTTAAAAAAAATGGATAGGTTGTGAAAAGCAAATGGGACTGAAAGGGGCAGAGATTTTTATTTCAGTGAGAAGGTACATATTTGACAACAGGAGGAATAAATGGAGGAGGGTGAGCTGTCTAAGAACAGTATGTTAAATTCAAAAGGATGAGATCCAGGAAGAGGGACACCTTTATCTTTTCCCCTAGGATTTAGGCTTTATAAAAAGATCTGAATCTCCCAGCCAGGGATTGTGGCAAACATGCAAGGAATTGTAAAGCAAATGCTGTGACAGCCCACAGGGTCTGGGCTGCAAAGAGTTAACTGGTTAGCTTTGCAGTTCCTGAGGAGACATGATGAAAAGAGGCAAATGGCTAAGCAACTCTGCCCAGAACCCCGAGGATGCTCTGTGGAAGGCATAGGCTGTTCCCTAAACTATACGTGAGATCCTTATCACAGCCACTAGAAAAATGCCTCATATTTCACCTTCGGCTAATAAAATCTACACATATGCGAGAATATAACATTTTATAGTATGTGTAGAGTAAGATAAGGACAACTGTCTCTTACAAATAAGGAAACAAAGAGAACCGTGAAGTGAATAATTTAAGGTCTCACAGTTAGTAGTGACAGGCACGACTGAAATGGAGCTCTCTAAGACTTCCAGCTCCCTCAACACTGTAAATGACTTATTTTTATGTTGGAATAAGTCCTAATTATATTAATGTATTCAACATCAAGTACCTTTAACTTTAAGGTGCTCTACTAAAGTAACAAGGCATTGTCCCTGTCTTGAAGAGGCCTCAGTCTGGAGGAAAATGGGGGCAAGATTTACCACTGGAGTACAGAAAAATCTTCAACTTTTATTTGTATATTTTGATTTTGTTGGATAATATACATGTCAACATAATCTATCAAGAAATACATTTATTAGAGGTGTTTCTGAAAGTTTTTTTCTGATGGGGTGTTCAAGATTTGGATTCTGGCCCTAACCAGTTTGGCTCAGTGGATAGAGTATTGGCCTGCGGACTGAAGGGTCCCGGGTTCAATTCTGGTCAAGAGCACATGCCTGGGTAGTGGGCTTGATCCCCAGTAGGGGGCGTGCAGGAGGCAGCCGATCATTGATCTTCCTCTCCCTTCCTGTCTGAAATAAAAATGTATTTTTAAAAAGAAAAAATATTTGGATTCTGGCCTCGGTAGGCCCTTTCCTCATGAGTTTTGCAATTATCCAGGCTACACCAAGTGTACAAGCCAAGTGTAAGCCTTGACTACTTCCCAAGGGTTGTGCAGTGTGAAAGCATCCATGTCTGTTGAAGGTGCCATGGCCAGAGGTGAGTGTATTTTGCTACTAAGAAGAGCAATATAAGTTTAAGAATGAGGTCGGGTTCTCGCAAGGTATACTTGATATATCAGAAGAGAGGCAGGAAGTGCACCAAAACTTGTTTTCATTAGCCCTTTGAGGCTACAGCCCAAGTCCAAACAATGAAATGGTCAGAGAGGTAGAGGCTCCTGTGTGATCTTCAGCTGGGAGTTAGCTTGGAGTAGGTTCATTCATAACACATTGTTTAGGACTAACAAGCCTCTGCATTTGCTTTATGGTGTCCAACACTTTCAACATACAATCCCAGGTGATTTTAGAGTGGAAACAGAATTGCTCCCTCAACCACTCCCTACCCCTACCCCTACCCTATCCACTAAGTCCTGATTACCTTTTCAAATTTCAAGTGACAGGAAAGCAAGGAATTTAATAATCAACACAGGGTAGATGTCTGTCTGGGGCAGTCATTCCATTCATTAAAGATATGCAGACCTTTAGTGTTGTTTGAGAGGGAGGGATGGTCATAGGTGGAGGGCAGGGTAACACCAAATCCAAATATACTTTCTAGTTGGTCAGTTACTGTATCTCTCTAGGCCCTCAACCTTCCTAATGCCGCGACCCTGTAATACAGTTCCTCATGTTGTGGTGACACCCAACCATAAAATTATTTTCGTTGCTACTTCATAACTGTAATTTTGCTACTGTTATGAATCGTAATGTAAATATCTGATATATGTGTTTTCCGATGGTCGCAACCCACAGGTTGAGAACCGCTACTCTAGGGATTCTAATTCTTTATTTTTTTTAAATATATTTTATTGATTTTTCACAGAGCGGAAGGGAGAGGGATAGAGTTAGAAACATCGATCAGCTGCCTCCTGCACACCTCCTACTGGGGATGTGCCTGCAACCAAGGTACATGCCCTTGGCCGGAATTGAACGTGGGACCTTTCAGTCCGCAGGCCGATGCTCTATCCACTGAGCCAAACCAGTTAGGGCTCTAATTCTTTTTATAAAAAAATATATTTTATTGTGTGTTTTTTTACAGGAGGAAGGGAGGATAGAAAGTCAGAAACTTCGATGAGAAAGAAACATCGATCAGCTGCCTCCCCCACACTCCCCATTGGGGATGTGCCCGCAACCAAGGTACATGCCCTTGACCGGAATCGAACCTGGGACCCTTCAGTCCGCAGGCTGACGCTCCATCCACTGAGCCAAACTGGTTAGGGCAATTCTAATTCTTATTAACCAACACTTGATCTTTCCACAGAGGTTTCCAACTGTGTGCTTCTGAATGAACATGATTTTCTAATACTGTTCACTCAGTAATACCAGGTACCTCATACTGAAACCCAGAACTGTTAGCGCAGAAGCAGCATCAATAGAACTGTCCAAGTCCTGGCCCCACCCAGACCCAGAGAATCAGAAACCCTGGGGATAACTCAGCAATTTGTTTTTTTTGTTTGTTTTGTGTTTTTTAAAAAAAAAATATTGATTTTTTTACAGAGGGGAAAGGAGAGAGATAGAAAGTTAGAAACATCGATCAGAGAGAAACATCGATCAGCTGCCTCCTGCACACCCCCTACCGGGGATGTGCCTGCAACCAAGGTACATACCCTTGACCAGAATCGAACCTGGGACCCTTCAGTCCGCAGGCCGACACTCTAGCCACTGAGCCAAACCGGTTAGGGCAGCAATTTGTTTTGACAGGTCTTCCCAATGAGTGTGTTGCATCCTCAAGTTGGAGAAGCACCGAGTTAACGTACTCTTCTGTGTTCTACCTCCTAACTGCAGCTGTTAGCACAAGCGAGGCAACTGTTACCCGATGCAAGAGTGCCCATACCTCCCTCAGCTGCTCTTACATTTGTTCAGGAGGAAAA